AGTCTGACCAGCAGGTGATCCACAGCAGGAGGCCGACCGCCTGCACACACACAAACACACAAACACTTTCAGGATCAACATGCAGCGAGCGTCCAACACGTCTACTGTGATCTGCAGGTCAGAAAGAAGAAAACTGAAATGAATAATAAAAACCTCTAGTTCATAAGACCGGACCTGACGTCAGCGCCAGTTTGAATATGTGTGAGTGTGAGGGGCGACGTCAGGGAACGAGAGGTCTGACCTTAAAGCTTCAGATAAAAGCTCCTCCCACTTTAAAGCCCAGAAACAAACTGAGCGCGCTCCCTGAGAGACAAGACACCATCCAGTACAAACCCTGAAATATTAGAAAGACCACCACCACCTACTGGAAGAATGTTCTCTCCCGTCAGGAGGGGTTAAGTTTCTGCCACGGAGCTGAAAGGAGTTCATGATTTGTTCATAAAGTTAAAAACATCAGAGTGCTCTGAAGGACCAATCAGATGCTCAGAAGAGGCGGCGGGTCGCATCACTCACAGTCTTGGCCTTGTTGAGGTGACTCATGCAGATGTATCCCCGGTCGTGGCTGCGCAGGTAGAGCAGGTAGACGGGTGCACACATCCAGAGGTAGAGACATGGCAGCCACAGCAGCACCGTGTTCTGGAAGCACGCTGTCAGGTCAGGGTTACTCGTGTTCCACGTACGGTTCCAGTCCTGATGGAGAGAGAGAGACAGACAACATGTCACCTGAACAGGATCTCTGCCTTTGAGCTGCAGTGATGCTTTCAGCCACTAGGGGCAGCAGTGGCAGGTCGAGGCTAACAGGTCAAAGGTCACAGTCAGCGTGGAGCTGAAGAGAGGAGGAGGACTCGTCTGTGTCGTCAGAAACATTTCATCCGAATATATTAAAACACTAAAGTACATGACTGAGCAAACAGCTATTTGACATCTGGGGTCATCAGAGTTTAGTGAGGTCAACGAGAGGTCACGAGCCTCCAAAGGTCGAAGAGCACGGAGTCTGAAATCTGAATCTTTGGCCCTTTCCATATATCCACAGTTCAGTATGCAGTACTTTTCAGTAGGGAGTTTCAGTATACTGAACTCTCGTGGTCATTCACTGGTGATTTTTAGTGTCCACCTCAGTATACTGAACATTTCAGCATGGATACTAACTTCCTGGTTTTATGCAGTATGGATCGGATGCGTGCAGGAAATGAATTGTATTTTACCCACAATGCTGTGCGACATTAAACGTAAATTGTCACGTCCGCCTCCAAATCAAAACAAACGAGCGTGGATTAATTGAATCCATTTGTAATCTAGAGTTAAAGTCCCGACTGAAATCACTACTTTTAATAAACAACAGAAAATATAACAAATATCTGCATTATTATAAAACCTTTCCCCCTCTATTTAAATAATGAGTTCACTATTTAAATGCGTCTTTATTTGGTTTATTTTATATTACTGTCTTTCATTTGTACTTTTCTTTATGTACTGTATGTTATTTAGTTATTTAATCTGCCTTTTACTTGATTTACATTGTGAAATTGTTTTTGTTTACCTGACTGTATATGTGCATTACTCTTCTTGAATAAAGCTAAACAAAAAAACAAAAAAAACGGGTGGATGCGGCCGGCTCGAGAAATGTAAATGACGTCACTTCCATACTGAATGAATCAGATGAAGGAGGAACAAATAGCTGCCTACTGAATAGTAGGTACTAAACAGTATACAGCACGGATAGTAGGTACAGTGGAGGAAATAATTATTTGATAAATAAAGGTACCATAGAAATTATAGACCTCTCACTTCTTTGTAATTGGTCAAACTTACAAAATCAGCAGGGGATGAAATAATTATTTCCTCCACTGTACTGCCTACTGACAGATTGAAGAGGTACTTGGAAATTCAGATACAGCCAGAGACTTCTTCTAAGTTTGAGTTGAGATCTGTTTGTAAAGTTCAAACTGATGAAGATCATTTGAAGATGGACGAGGAGGTCGACTGAAGGGGGAGGAGCTACAGAGATGAACACTGAAGAGTCTGTTAGAGGCAGAATGAGGTCAAAGGTCACGGTGTGGTTATGTGTGACAGTTTCTCTGACTCCAAGTCCTGATAACAACTGAAACAGCTGCTACACACACACACACACAGATAATGAGGTTTCATGCATCAGCTGGTGGAGATAACGCTGACAACCCTATATTTTCTATTTCTATCTTGGCGTTAGCACCCTGTTCCTACACACTCCCTAACGTTAAAACACGAGAGGACTTGTCGATACCCGAGTGAGACCACGATATGTGTCATTACACTTCCTCTAGACACGCCCCCTCCTGCCTCTAGACACGCCCCCTCCTGCCTCCATACATTTCTTTTGTAATGTTTGGCTTGTTTTTGTTGTTCATTTCTCTAAACGTCTTCTGAAGGTTTGTGCTGATGCTCTCCATCTTTTATTTCACTCTGATATTTATCTTTATGTAAGGAGTAAATAATAAACCTGAACATGTGTATTCTATTCGATTTGAATCGACTCTACATTAAACCTGTGTTTACAGAGATGACTTTAACCCAACAGCAGCAGCTCTGTGTGTGTGTGTGTGTGTGTGTGTGTGTGTGTGTGTGTGTGTGTGTGTGTGTGTGTGTGTGTGTGTGTGTGTGTGTGTGTGTGTGTGTGTGTAACCATGTGTTTATGAAAACACCTCGGCGCGTGCTCGCCGCGCGTGCCCAGCAGCGGTTAAGCCGGGCTGCAGTCACGGAGGACGTTTAACTCACCGGGGCTACCACGTTCACATGAAGCTAATAACAACAAAGACCCGGGAAACGACCCGAACTCACCCAGAACGGATCGGACCGGTCCAGACTGCAGAAGTGTTCGAGCCCCATCCCGGTGCAGGTTCAGACCGGACGGGCGGAGACTGTTCGAGGCTCTGCTTTGGTTTTGTAACTGGACTGGAGGCAAAGCGGAAGGCTGCCTGCGTCTCTTCTTCTGTGGTGTTTAACATGGAAATATGAGGGGTGTTTACCGCCCCCTGCTGCCACAGAGAGGTAACAGCTCAAAGTCTGCTGCAGAGGCCAAAGGTCCAATCAGTGGGATGTGTAGAGAGTGAAATGATAAAGTGATCTTACTATATGATCAGACATTAAGGAAACATGTTGAAGTGCTGGCTTCTCTGACAACAATGCAGCAGCCAGTATGTCCTCCTTCTAACTTTAGATTCTGGTCCTGAATGCTCTGGATTTGTTTGGACCAGAGAAGGTAGGTGGTTTTAAGGCCCCCCCCACACGGCCATTTTGGACATCCCTCGGTTTGCCAGATATGAGAGCAGTTATCAGGTCAACAGGTGTTGCAGCGATGGAAGTGGGCAAGAGAAGTGGTTCAGATAGAAGTGATTGTACCCGACCTAAAAAGCCTCTGCATGTTTCTAATAAGCTCCACGAGCAGAAACGTGCTCAAACTAGGATCAATATTGGAGATGCTTTTGAAAAATGGAGAGAGGTTAGAACACAGAAAGGTTTACAGGGGAGGGAGGGAGAGGAAGAGGGAGAGAGACAGCTCTCTACGATGGGTGCGTTCAAATTGTCCCTCCTATCTCCTTTCACTATCCACTTTACCTTAACACCGGGGAAAACGTCATGAGGTTAAGGAAAGATGTTAGAAGAATTAGGGAGACTTAGGGAGAGGTGATCTCGTTTCTCTGACAATCCGACCACATTTCCACTGACGGGCCGGCGGAGGTTAATGATGTGGGTCCTAATCCTAATCACCACAAGGTTGGGATTTAAAGAAAAGCAATATAGACTACAAGTAACAAAAGTGAAACCATCACCTTCCTGTCCACTCATAAATCAAAATAAATATGATTGTATGAAAATATAGCCTACACATAATATTTTAAGCATACAAATGTACAACTGCACATAGCATCCTTAAGTGAATGAAATATGTTGAATAAAACATCATCTGGATAAAAATGTCTCTTTTTATCCCTTACTTGATCTGTGTCACTTTACAATCATCATTAATTTCTGTGAACGGTCGGATGCACAACTCGCTTTAAATGTTGCAGCCGCAAGGAATTGTGGGGCGTCATATCTCATCTCCTTTGGTAAAGGATGGTCCAGTGTATCCTGTGCTAAAGGAGGTTATAAAGGAAACATTGACCCACCTTTCCTTAACTTTTAGAGAATTCAAACGGCTCTTATCATGGCCGCCACTTTAATTCTTCTGGGTCATTTCACTCAGTTAGGAACCTTCCTCAACAAAAATGACAATTCGAACGCACCCAATGTTTAGAATTTAGACTGCAGTGCCCATTTCTTAACACTAGGGGCAGAGTTACATATCACTCTTTGAGTTATTAGAAATAAATAAGTGTCATGAAATCGGCTCAGATTTTGTAATCCTGTTTAAGTTTTGATCCGGATCATAACTGATGTGAGAACTTTAAATCTGGATTATCCTGATCCCTGCAGACGTCGACTCAGCTCATTACAACGCTTATGATGTCATGGATATGATGTCAGAGTTACTGTTAGTGACAGAAGATGGACACATTTATCTCTTAACGTGACAGTTTGAATGTGATGGTGACATTTGTTTAAGATTCTTCTGGATGGATGTGCTTGGTTGTGATTGGTCTTCACCCGGTCTGATTCCTGCACGCCATGACTAATGTAGTTCTTAAAAAGGAAAGGTCAAAGGTCACTTTATCACGTGACTCATGACTTAAGTTTTTTAAATATTTTCACTGTTTGCATCCTTCTGAAAACATAATCGACCCGTGTGAATGATTGGCATAAAGGATGTGTTGGTAAATGTTTCTGTTGATCAAACGTCTTAAACAACAGCCAATGAGAGAACACATCCAGTCCTTGACCATCATCCTCCAGACGTGTTAAATGTTTTATTAAACTGCTGACCCCAGCTTTAAAGCATTTCAATAAAGACTCAGTGAAAACGTCTCCTCCTCTTTATTCAGCATCGTTGACTTCTCCGTTTACAACAGTACACAAATATATTAAGTTCTCCTTTCAGTCACTGTGAGCATAAATAACAATGAAACATATCATCTGGGCCACATGGTGGCCACATATTGTTGTGTTTAGTTGTCATCGTCGTCGTCAAAGACGTCGGCAACGGTCCTGTGGAGGAGACACAAACAGAGGTCAGACGCTGCTGACCTTTAACCTTCAAACAAAACTCAGGGCAGCAGGAAGCAGACTTACTTATAGATCGATCCGGTGACTTCGTCCAGAAAACCTCCTGAAGGAGAGAGAGAGAAAGAGATTAAAATGTTCGCAACACTTTAGATTATGACTTTCATTTGATCTGCTGCTGTTAAAAATAATCCTCCATGTTTGTCCAACACTTTCAGAGCTGCTTTAAAGGTCACATGTTCTCTAAAGTCCTCTTCCCCATGTTCCTCTAGTCTGTCTACAAACCCCCCAATGATGAGAAAAGTCCATCCTCTCCGTCTTCTGCCTGCTCCACTTTTCAGAAAATGTGTGCCCAAACAGGCCGTTTGGAGATTTTCCCTTCATGACATCACAAAGGGCAGTAGCCCCTCCCCCAGGTGGGTGACACTCCCACAGCTAGGTGTTTGTTCTGCCCTCTGAGTCTGCCTTCTCACCGTAAACAATAGGACATGGAGCGAGAAAGACAGAGACACCCGAGCCCTTCCAGAGAGGGGGCGTGGTCAGACACAGCTCATTTACATCTTTAAAGGTACAGACACAGAAACGGCCTGTTCTGAGCAGGGCTGAAATAGAGGGGTTTATAGACATGATCAAATACAGGATCAGAGTGGATTTAGAACAAGAAACTTCACACACATGTTTTGAGGAGCTCTGAGACTTATTTACACTGAAGAGGAGGAGGAGGATATGTGACCTTTAAACAGCTGTGATGGGCCCTCTGTTGACCCAGTGCAGGAGATCCTGTTCTCCTCATGAACATGCAAACTGTCCACGCTCTGTAAAGCGGAGTGTTTGTGTGTTGACTCACCAGGCTTGCACACAGTTTGGCAAACTGGACACACGTGACAGAAACTGCACATCTGTGAAGCAGACAAAGAGTTTAACAGAAAGGTCAGGATGTAAAGCAGCTGTTTTCATCCTGTCACCTAAATGTTCCTGCAGATTGTACACCTCTAATGTTTGATGCACAGAGGCATAAGTCAGAAATACAACACAGTGAACGTCTGAGGGTGCAAAGTGGGATGACGAGGATGTGTCTGATTTTATATTGTGACAGGTGTTGTCTTTACTCAGGTGTGTGCGCGTGTGTGTGTGCGTGCGTGTGTGTCTGTGTGTCTGTGCATGTCCGTGTGTGTATTTGCTCACCTTGCAGTCATCACAGTGTTCAGACTTGTCTCCCTCTTTACAAGGACACTTATCACAGCTGTCACAGTGCTGAGATAAAAACACAAAATGATGATTATTAACCTGAAGGATTATCAGGACAGACTCGTGCAGAGCGAAGCTGTTTCAGTCCGCACGTCTTCTCAAATCAGTCTGACTAACCTCGCAGAATTCACAGAGTGAGCACAGAGAGCCCTTATGATAATCATCATCATCATCATCGTCGTCGTCATCGTCGTCGTCATCATCTGTACATAACATAGATAACAGATATGTGACTTACAGAGTTGATAATTTGAGAAGTTAAGGACGCTTGCGTCCATATAAAAAACAAGAATATCTAACAAACTGCTGAAAACTGGAGCTAAACTTTATCGTACTGTAAATGTAGTATTTAGGTTTTTTTTAAGTGTATTTTTACCTGTAATGTGACAGAATCCATTAAAGCTTGAATTAAAGATTTGGCCATTAGATTCTAAAAAAGACTGCTCACATTAGCTGATAAATAAATATAGAGTATTAAATAAGTAAAAGGGGAAATTAAAACTCTTTACTAAACTCCTCCCCCTTACTGTAACTGTCCAATCACCAGCCTTAGCAACCATAACTATGTGCAGAAGGCAGTTCAGCTATCTTTGGTTTTTGGGAACACAGATAAATGGTGATGAACGGTGGTTTAAACAGGGCTAAATGGTGGTTAAATGGTGGTAAACAGGAATAAACGGCGGTAAAAAAAACTGTGGTTTAATGGAGATGAATAGTGGTAAACGGTTATTTAATGGTGGTAAACGGTGGTTCAGTGGGCTAAACGGTGTTTAAACGGTGATAAACGGTGGTTAAACGGGGCTAAACGGTGATAAACAGTGGTTAAACGGTAATAAATGGTGCGTGGTAACGGCAGATGAACTTTGATAAACTGTGGTCAAGCATTAGTAACAGTGAAAATATGGTGATTGCCAGTAACGTCACATTAAAACAGACGTAAACAAAGACTCCACGGTAACGGTTCTGTGAGGCAGGTTAGAGAACCCAACAGAAACCGCGTTCCACTGACCTCGGAAGTCAGAGCTGGGAATGACGAAACAACCGAGTTAACTGCGTTCCAGTTGCAAGTCAGAAAAGCAACATGGCCGCCTCCAGGAGTACCTTTGTTTTGTCAGCTAACACCAGACAATAATAACAAACTACTTGATAGTTTCATGAAAACACCTCCACAGATACCATCGGTCTGATTTAAATACACAAAGAGACGACTGAGCTGCTAATAAACTCAACACTTACAGATTAAACATCCCTTTAGATGCACGTATAGCGGCCATGTTGGATCTGAACTCAGGCTACTTTTTTCATTCAGAGTTTCCGAGTCGTAATTACAACTTCAGGGGGCGTTCCAGTTGACACTTCCGTCTCTAAAAAACGCCAAAGTTACTGTTGATGCACGGAGCAACCATGTTGGATTTGAACTCAGGCTACTGAAGGTTCTCAGAGTTTCCAAGTCGGAATTCCAATTCAGGCGGCGTTCCTGATGACATCATCAGACGAGCAACTCAAAATGTACGACTTCAGAGATCACATGGTACAGAGCTGGAGCAGAGGCGGGGCTTAAGACTCGTGACAAAGTGTTACACGGCGCCTGCCCGTCAGTTGATCTTTATCTGTTAATGATGTGATGTGTTTACCTTTTTCAAAATGGCCAAAAAAAATGTTTCACCCACATGTTCACATCTGTGTCAGATGATGAAGTTTAATAAAAACGTTTACAGTGATATGACAATGATCATCTGTCTACTGCTACGTCCCAGACGGAGGCCCAATGGAGAGCATGCTGTGGTCAGAAGAGATACTCACAGTTGTGTGAAGCTCGTCTGGTCCTCATACAGGTAACAAGGCACAATACATGTCACAGGCCTCTGATGACGTCATCATACTCTGCATGCATTAATGAGCTCTAATACATGTGCTGCCTTCGGTAAGAGATATTCATTTAGGTAGTTTATGATCATTTGATTTATTTCATGAATGAGAGAAGTTAAAGACATATGGACAGTGATGGGTGTCATATAGATTACACACATGAATGTTCACAGTCTTCAAAAACACATCACAGTTTGTCAAATAAATAGAGAACAAAGCAAACAACCATTTCATCTCTTGACACTTTGACATTAGATGGTGTTTATGTCGTCTATACAAAGAGACGTTTCTCTCTTTTCCCAAACACTCTCTCCCTGAAAGATCCTCAGCAAACACAACAGTCTCCTCAGCTTAGCTTCACAGTGTCAGTGAGTCTGAGCACCGAAGAATAAGGGGTAAGATGCACAACAAAACATTAATGCAAGCTAATCACATGTGCATTAAAGGTTCTTATCTTATCTAATGGTTCATTACATCGCTGTTTTAGAAAAAAAAAAAGAGGTATTGTAATAACAATGTTCATAGATAGACTGACAGTTAGTGTCTAGCAGTTTGACATGTGCACACAGCAGACGCCTCAGTGGCTCAATGCTCCACAGAGAAAGAAAGAGATTGAGAGATATGGAGAAAGAGAGAAACTTTACACCTCTATATTTTAAATGAATTGTTTTAGGTAGTGGCCCTCCTGCACCTCCCCTCGCGCTTTGTTCTCCCTCCATCTGTTTCTCTGGCAACCTAATCCCCAAACCCACCCCCTCCCAATATCACTGTCTCTCTTTCTTTCTCTGTAGGTTCACATAAAGACACAAATACAGGTCAATCTGATCCAAAACAATTGAGACAGGTAGATCCTAGTGGAGGAACCATTCTTTCAAACGAAACACAAATCAAAAGATCTCAGACTAGTGACCCCAATGACTGATCCCCAAGTCACGCCTGGTTTGTGTGAAATAGTTTTTTTGTTCTTTCTCTCTCTCAAATCAAAGCTTCTGCAGTCCCCAAGTTCATATCTAGTGTACTGTTCGAAGGACTTCGGACAGTCGGACTTCAGATGGGCCAGTTCAATTTCCCAAGAGTGTTCATAACTCTAGTTAGGCGGGAAAAAGAACAAAGTGTCAGAGACAGCAAGGGAAATGAACAGCAGGAAAGGGGTGGAGGAGGGACTTTCATTACCTTCATATAATATACAACTTTATGACAAAGAGATGACAAGGTTGTAAGGATGCAAACCAGAGGGGAGTGGCTAACTTTTGCTTAGCTCCTCCCCTTCAGCACACTAATATTCTGCACGTTTACCTGAACGCAGCATCAACCTGCAGGTCAAAGCATCAGCCATACCGACACTTCATCTTCAGATGCAATATACGAGGGGTTACAATGTTATAATGGTGATTTAAAGGCCAGAAACAGCTGATGCTTTGACAAAAGATTGACAATATGCAGACGACTGCATAATCTCACACTCGAAACACACAAAGGATGTGAGTGCATAAAAACTACTGACCTTCATGATCATCGTCGTCGTCGTCATCGTCATCGTCATCGTCATCATCGTCGTCGTCGTCGTCATCGTCGTCATCGTCGTCATCATCGTCGTCATCATCATCATCGTCGTCGTCATCATCATCGTCATCATCGTCATCATCATCATCATCGTCGTCATCATCATCGTCGTCATCATCATCGTCGTCATCATCATCATCGTCATCATCATCGTCGTCATCATCATCGTCATCATCGTCATCATCGTCGTCGTCGTCGTCATCATCGTCATCATCATCATCATCATCGTCGTCATCATCGTCATCATCATCATCATCGTCGTCATCGTCATCATCGTCATCATCGTCATCATCGTCATCATCGTCGTCATCATCGTCGTCATCATCATCGTCGTCATCATCATCATCATCATCATCATCATCGTCATCATCATCGTCATCATCGTCGTCATCATCATCATCATCGTCATCGTCATCGTCGTCATCATCATCATCATCATCATCATCATCATCATCATCATCGTCATCGTCATCGTCATCGTCATCGTCAGCCATCAGACCCTGCTCAGATTGGAATGGCAGATCCTGTGCCTTGACGGAGGGAGCCAGCGGGGTGTGGAAGGAGCAGAGCAGCGCCAGCAGCAGCGAAAGAATCAAACTTCTCAATGATGCCATATTCACAGCCGGGACAGGGCCAACTAATGAGGAATTAACCTGGAATCACTGCAGGAGTCCAGCACTGCAGCACTTAGCCTTTGTGTCCCACACGTATAACTTCCCAAATTCAACCCCCCTCAGAGCCGCACGCACTCAGATAGACTGCTACTGTGGGAAATGGACACCAATTACAACGGCATCCAACATACAAGGTCCAGTACAGAGAAGATATTCCAAGCTGAAATCCAGACACTTGTTCCCAAGTCCTGGCAAAAGTTATCCTAAAAAACACAGATGTCCTCCCTTAATATCTGGGACAACAACAAGACAGGGTCCAGTAAAACACTTGTGCGATCAGTGAAGACTGCAATAAGAAGCTGTGAGGAGAGCCGTCAGCAAGCGGTCAACGTTGGAGACAGAGACAGGGCTAATGTGAGAGCGACAGAAAAAGAGTGAGACCAACCTATGGGGTAAGCTAAGAAGAAGGGGGGCGGTCAGAATGACTGACAGGAGCACATGCTGGTGGGCAGGCCTGCACTATCCATAAGTTAAGTTACTCAGAGAAGAGGGGAGTGATTGGAGGAGTGTATAAGGAACAAGTGGAGTATACTCATCATCAAATGTGCAAGTTTAACTTTAGAACAAGTGTTGCAGCTGAACTTTAGAGAGGAGCACTGTAGGAGTAGGCCCAGGAAATGATGACCATAAACTGTGAGAGAAAGGAAGATGAGTTGGTATAGAGCAGGGAAGATACCTGACCCACTAGCAGCAGAGCCGAGGGGTTTATGATGTTGGTAGATTAATTGTAAGGTTACTTGGTCGGTCTGTCAAACCAGATTGCGGTTCCATGACATTTGAAATGAATATTCATGCTCCTGGAGGATGATAATTAATGATTTCAGTGACTCCCTGCCCTTTTCCTCCAGAGAACCATGAGTGCAACATTTCTCTATGTCCAACCCTTCAATCAAGGAAGATATATCTTGTATCTTATGTAAGATATCAGAGTCTAAACCAGCAGGTAGGGCTTTGAATTGGGGCGATTCTGCAAACCACAGAATGATCTTCATTTAAACAATTTAGATTTTTAGATTCCAAAATATCCACGCATGCTAACCCAGCAGTTTGCTTCAGGTTTGCTAAGTTATGTTTGGGTCACACACTTAGAAACCAGGTCATGGTTACAGTTAAGGTTACAAAACACCAACATAAAAGGCTTCTCTGTAATTGGATGCTAATTCTCCGTTCTCCCTCATGAAAGTCAGAGATGCTACAGTCTCGTCCACCAGCCTGACCTTAACGTTTAGGTATACTTGAAATGAACTACTTCTTACAAAGTGTCATCCAACCACGCCCAAAGGCACAAGTATTTATAGCTGTTGCAAACTGCCTTGGTCAAAGGCGGGCAAGAAGCATGCTGTCAGAGCCCAGGGAAAAACATCATTGTTTCTTTAAATGAGTCCTTCCTCAAACACGTTCTTGGCATTACTCAAGCACTGTCAAGAAGAAACCTGCAGATCTACTCTGGTTAAAAAGCCATCACACACCTGTTCAATCACCTGGTGAAGCAGGTGTGAGTGACTGTCTGATAGGCTGGCATCTGTTGTCCTCACTAAAGTCCTTATAATATTATAAGACAAGTTAATAAAGTATAATAATGCTATTCCACCCATCATAAGGGTTACTTTACTTTCACACTTAACGTCGGCACTGAACATCAGGGGTGTTCAATCTTCACAATGGTCCAAAAGGAACTTAATTCCTAGAGACTCTGCTGTGAGGTATTTCAGGATCTAATGGGCAGACTGCCATGCTATTTGCTGGGCACATTAATGGTCCTGAGGGGATAAATCCTTAAGATTTCAACAACCCTTGGAGCTTTCCCTGTCCTCAGGACAAGCACCTTTAGCTCCAAGAATAGCTACAGGATGATTATGTTGTGCATTTTGTCCAGCACCGTTATAATGAGGGATGGAATTAACAATTCAGAATGTGGGGGTCAGTTTGTTAGCCTTTAATCCTTATTCTGAGATACTGGGCATTTTTAATTCTTTGAAACATTTCCAGTACTGCCATCATGCTGATGCAGTCAGAGCAAATGCACTACCAATGGAAGAGGCCAAACCCACACACTGATATCTAGCCCATCTACTTCTAGTTCTGCCCCTCCCCCTGCAGGGTGTCCCCAAAATAGATGGATTTGTGCAATGAGGAGTTGACAACCATTCTATTTAAAACCACACACTGTCAGAGTCAGTGTAATGTGAGCCTCCCTGGCTCTGTTGGTGTGGGACCAGCACAGGATCGCACAACCTCAGTCAATTCTCACCTACATATGTTTGAGGAGGGGGGTAATGACAGGAACCTCTGAAGCACCTCCTAAACCAAACTGCACTAAAAGGTGCACTTCTGCACACTGATGCCGGTAAGAGTTCCCAATCCACTGTGAACGCATGCCTGAGGAATACTGTACGCCCCTCCAAGCTCTTGAAGTCACGGCAGATAAAACAAAGGAAAGCCTCCGTACTTGTTGATTTGACATTTTACAGGGGTTCTTTACGGATTGGTTGACCTTTTGGTGAAGGTGGCCCTTTATGGTGATAACAGTCTCGGTTAAATGATTGATTATCTTTGTACTAATACACCATTCTGTTTTTAATTTCAACAAGCCTGAAAACAAGGACGACTAAGGACTAATATATCAGTTAGAACCTGCATCATCATCGTCTTCAGTCACTATCCATAGGTTTAGATCATGCATCACCTTTGAAACAACAGCATAGGTTTGACAACACGCTTGCTATGAAGTTTCTAATGGTGATAGAGTGATGGCAGTCAGAAACAGCTGAGTTGGAAACAGCAAAGGACAGAATGGGAGAAGAGATCGGATCGAGATGAAGACTGCAAAGTGGCTGAAAGTGGAGATGAGCTCAGACATGCCAAACACATTTCTTCTATCTTAGTTTGGACTACGGACTCTGCCTGCATTGACCTACTTTACAACTTAAGCTTCAGTTTCATTCCTACTCTCCCAAAGTTTTAAAGAAAATAAGTCAATTAACTCATGTTTGGAATAATATCTGATTCTTAAGGGACACTTGGACTTGAGCTTTAGTTTGGGGGATGTTTACACGGAGCAGTTCATGACCTCATTTGACTCCAACATGTGTGAGCAAAAAGAAAAAGAATTTGTGTTATTTAAAGTGTGGGCAGGGTGTTGTGAGGTGAAGAGATGACAGCAAATGCACTGCATCCACCCATTCATCAACCAGATTTGACATTCCTGCACAGGATTTATTTGCCTTGCTGAATCTGATCCAGTGCCACGTCCACCCCAAGCTCTTCCCATGTAAGGACTGTCTAAAGTGGGAAATCACTATCCGTGATAAAGTTACCTAAGGGGACTGGTGTGTTAGTGTGTGTGGTATGCGTGCATGTGTGTGTGTGTGATGTGTGTGCACAAGGACTCAGGGCATTAATTAAGCTCTTTTTTGTGCCATACAAAAATGACTCCTTTGAATTCTCTGACAGTTTTGCATGTTTGATTTGGGCGTCAGCAGCAGAACAAAGTTATCCAGGGAGTAGCCCAACGTCTCCCCAGAGAACAAGAGGGACCCCTTTTTGAAAGTGAAAGTTGCAGAACGAAGGCTCTGAGTGTTGCATGTGTTTATACATTAAACACAGTTCAGAGTTAAGGCTGAACTGAGAACGTCTGGCAGAGGACCCTGTCCATGAATCTTCAAATCCCACCCACAAAACAATGTCTCAATCATCAGGGCCAATGTAGGGGACATGAAATACAATTGGGAACATGTAAAGACCCCAGTTGCAGAGGTAACGGGCTGGAGCTGTGACTGACTATCCTTGCTGGTGTCTAGTACTCAGGTTGGGATCTGTAGCAGATTCTTAAGACTCGGGAGAGTCAGCCCATATGGCTCAGGAGATTGTTGCACAGCTTTCCTGTAACAGAAACCTTCCTTGCAGATTTAAAGCCCTGCCTCAACAACACTTAGGAGCATTTTTTCCCCCCCGTTTCTTCCACAGGACACTTTTAAGTGCTCCGACTGGGGTGTCTTCAGAGATGTTGCCTCCCTGAATAAGTAACCAACCAATCTTGATGAAGAATCATCAACAGTGACATCCCCAGAGCAAGACGGCATCAAGAAGGAACATTTGAGAAGCTGAATTTATGCTTATCCACATTATGTGAGAAGAACCCTGCTGGGCCAGGGTTGGCATGGCCCCCTTGGCCACCCTTCTTAGTTTTCTTAGTTTTTGAGTCCCTAAAGCAGTGATCCTCACAATTTTTTTCTTTGACAGCTATACCAACAGGACAAAGTCACAAGGAGAGCCATTTTACCACGGTTTGTCAAAAGCCACCTCCAGTCATTAAAATCATGTCTGCTTATTAATTTGTCATCCCACAACATACATTATATAATGCAGACACTACAATCCTAATTAAAGCAGGCCTACCTTAATACTGGTACTAAACGTTTTTGGTTTAAAGTAAGTTTTTTTTTTTTTTTGCCTTCTGCCTTTTTGTTAAATTAAATCCTTTTGGTTATTTTGCACTTGGATCCACCTCCCCTTGTTTTACACACCAGACATGACAGAATGATTTGACCACATTATGGGCCCAGCGGATTTTTTTTGTTTCAACGAGCCTTCTCCCTGGGAGGGGACTCGTCTTGCCTTTTTCCCTGGCACCTGAGGTAGGAGGAGATGCAGTCAGGGCCTACGATGTCAGGACTCAATCTCTTCGAGCTCTCTGGTGGCCCTTCTGTTGGTCCTTGCTTTGGAGCCAGAAAGCTCCAGAGAATCTCCTCAGTACCAGCAGCCTGCGTACCAGCCCAAGCCTCGGCCCAAGCGTCAGCCAAGGCCTCAACCCCAGCCTCAGCCCAAGCATCAGCATCCCTGTGTTTCTGTTCCAGCTGAGCGCTGTCTGCTACCAGTTCCGGTGGAGCGCCGTCTGCCCCCTGTTTCTGTTCCCACAGAGCGCCGTCTGCTCCCTCGTCTGAGGTCCTCGTCTGAGGCCCTGCCAACTCCTGTGCCCTTGTCAGAGGCCCTGCTGACTCCTGCGCCCTCGTCTGAGGCCCTGCTGACTCCTGATTCCTCGTCGGAGGTTCCTGCGACTCCAGCACCCTCGTCGGAGATCCTGCTGACTCTCCTTGTCTCCCTCCTGGTCTCCCCCCTGAACTGGTCTGCCCTCCTGGCCGTCCTCCTGAACTATCCTGGCTATGTGCTCTCCTCCAGACCCCCCTCCACTGTTTCATGATTTATTTTGTATTTGTCCTCAGTGTTTGTTGTCTTGTATTTTCTCCCTGCCTCTGTGTGTTTCCCTCCAGTCTTGATTGCCCTGATTGTCCTCATCTGTGTCTTGTTGGTCTCACCTGTGTCTGATTACTCCATGTCTATTTAGTCTCTGTGTTTCTTCCCTTCTGTGTCAGATCATTGTTGTAAGCTGTCATATGTGAGTTTATGGTGGATGTTGGTCGTCTTCTGCTCAAGTGTTTTGACTTCTAGTTTTTGGTTTAAAGTAAGTTTTGTTTTTAACTTCTGCCTTTTTGTTAAATTAAATCCTTTTGGTTATTCTGCACTTGGGTCCACCTTCCTTGTTTTATACCTGAACGAGACACAGGTACCCTCACACCTGTACTTAAAATGTGTTAAGGGTCAGGTCCCAAAAAAACACTACCCTGTGGAAGCACTCACTCCAGTACTTTGAGAAACTAGTTCACCCTGATGAACCCAAAATCCCAGTGTGGTTGGATCCTCATCAATTTGTGTTCAGAACCACCAAAGAGGATGTCATCTCTTCTACAATCCACTGAGTCTCCTCACAGCTGGAACACAGATCAGAAAGTCTCCCTGTGTTGTAGAACAATGAATCAATGAGCGGTGTATCATGTAAATCCTTTTATTAAGACATTGCAAATTAAATGTATTCCTGGTTCTTCACAGAGTGGAACAAACTACAAAATATGTCACATCTCTATCCAGGTGTGTTTGTCAGAATTTTACTGTTTTTATTCCTTTGAATGAAGAGATGGAAGATGTTATCCAGCTCTTTCTGGTCTTGATGGCTTTAAGTGAGATCCTCTAGGCTCTGTGTTTGGTCTCCACCGGCTCCTCAGAGAAATATCTCCCGTGTCTTTAGCTGTTAAAAGTGTCGCTGTGTGGAAGGTTGTTTAGAGCTTTGTCACTGGAAACAGCGGCACACTGATGAAGCGCGACCCAAAGCAATCTAAAGCTGTGAAGAGCGCAGCAGTTTGTGTCTTTGGTTCACGTGTTTACAGCAGCTTGAACAGGTTCAGTTTGAAAAGGTTATGTCACCGCTCACGCACGGGATCACAACTCGACAGTCATTTTACACATAGATGCGATGCGTTGCCGTCCGATGCAGAGGTCGAGTGTTAACGGAACATTTAAATTAGTCTATTGGATTAAAAGCCAAAGAACTCGGAGGTTATTGGGAAAATCCCCGACTACCTAACGTGATGACGTACACGCGTGTGTATTCATTCAGGAGTTCAAAGACTCAGCTTGGAGACAGAGCTGTCAGATATACTACAGAAGAAGAAAACAGTTTACATAATTTAAACTTCTGAATCACAAATTAACTTTTTTTAATGTTAAGAAAAGTTTTCAGTGGACTTCACCTCTGAGCAGAGGGGGGGAGAGGAGGGGGGGGGCGATCAGTTTTTAACAGACCGCTCAGAGACAGAGCCTCTGTCATCCAGCAGAGGGCGCTGCAGCAGTACTCCAACTGAGAGGAAAGAAAGACACAGAGATGGAGGAGTGCTGAGCAAGAAGAGCCAACAGCTGCAGAGAAACCAGACACACACCGTGCACACACACACACACACACACACAGTGCGCGCACACACACACACACACACACACACACACACACACACACGTACACACACACAATGTGCACAGACACACACACACACACACACACACACACACACAGTGTCCTGTACTCTGCAGTTATATCTGTCTGTATGATCAAACACTAAATATGTTTCACGATCTTTTTGAGGATTTGAAGATAATTTCATTTGAAAATGAAACTCTGTGACGTGATCTTTGTAAGAGACAAATCTAAATTAATCTATGAATGTTTATTTATTTTAATATCCACACGTTCTAACCCCTAACCCTTAATGACAAACGGTCAGATCAGGTTGTCTAGGCGTGCTGACCTCAGACTCCAACAGGCGCAGCCTTAGGTCGTGGTCACGGATCTCTGACATCTGCCTCAGCACGCTGTCCACCCTGCAGACACACAAACAGAAACACACACACACACACACACACACACACACACACACACACACACACACACACACACACACACACACAGTTTATTAAAGTGAGAAATGATCAGTCTCCCTGTAAACACAGATGTGGCGCCCTCTAGTGGTAAACGATATCAGATCTCAGTATGCACAGCAGGTTTGTTATTAAATAAACAAACATTAACAGGAATGAAGTTCTGGTATTGTGACGACAGCAGGACCGGGTTAAATCCTGTAGGCGCTCTTCTTCTTTGTGTACAGATTATGGTTGTAAACAGTCGGAGGCGTTGGCAGAGTCGGTGGGAGGAGCTAAACTCCAAAGGTCGCCCAGGACTCGGTTTTGGAGGTGACTCCCATTCAGTCAACATGACGCTTTGATCCCGCTCTCTGCCTTACTGAAAGTTCCTCACAGATATTTGTCATCCAATCAGAGAGCAGTAAACGGTTAGCGTTAGCTTACTTGGTGGATGTGTTTTTGAGTCGGGCCGTGTCGCTCTCTCTCACTCTCTTGTTCTGAGCTGACAGCAGGTTTTCTTTCTGGATCACCTCCCACGTGTTGAGCCGGCTCGCCTTCCTGCCGCGCAGCTCCAGGACTGAGGACGGAGGGCAGAGGTTAACCCAGGAAAAACACACACACACACACACACACACACACACACACACACACACACACACACACACACACACACACACACACATCCCACATGACGCTGTCTCACCAAAGTGTTTGCTCTTGACCGAGGGGATCTGTCGGACGTATCTCTTTACGACCAGGTGGAGGTGTGAGATGATGATGAAGGGCGGGGCTAAGCAGGGCCTCGAGTGGTACTCCACGATCAGGTTGTAGCGCTGAAACTTCCAGTAGGTGTCACTGCGCCCCTGGACCTTAGAGAAGGTGTAGCTGCAGAGAGGAACATACACTCTGTAAGTCATGAAACACACACAAACAGGATCCTGTGGACTGATGGAGAGATGTCAGAGTGATGGGGGGGCGTCCGCAACCGGTGACCCTCCGGCCCCCTACAGACTGAGCTACTGCCGCCCCCAAATGAAATCACATTCAGAGAGGATCGTCATATAAACAGGAATTAAACACCTGAACATGGCGATGAGCAGGTTGACCAGCACGATGTTGGTGAACAGCAGGTAGATGACCAGCAGGATGACCACCAGCCAGTTAGCGTACGTGCTCATACACGGCTCCTCTCCGGCCTCGATCAGTGTGGCGTTGTTGGTACATTTGTTCTCCTCCCGTTTATCAGCTGGAACCAATCAAAGAGGTTAAAACAACGAGTCAGGAAGTGAACACGCTGCACGCTCCTCTTAACGTGTTTTTAACCCTTTCAGGACACCGCTGATCGACTCACCGTCCATCTCGTCTATTGGAATCTGTCCAAAGATGTGCAGGTACGGTCTGTAGAAGACTCGCCGGAATATCCAGTTGGGACGCGGGTCGTATGGGTAGAGGAGCGCCTGATTGGCTACTCCGTACGCCATGAGCCACACGGCGAGGAAGAAGAGGAAGAAGAAGACGTCCTTCATCTGAGGGAGACGAGAGACGAGAGGAGGAGTCAGAGACGTTTAAACCCCTGTGTGGTCGTTCAGAGCGCCACAAGCCTCCTCACCATCTTGCCCACGATGATGATCTTTGGTCCCAGCTGTTTGTGGATGGCGAAGATGTGGATCAGGCGAAGAGTAAAGACCAAGAAGTCGATGGCCATCACAGCCCGACCGAACTCGTACGACTCGGGGAACATCCTGAAACACCACAGAGACACATAACCACGTTGTTCGAAAGGTTTTTATGTTTTGAAATTCTATTTTATATATTGTAATATCTTCTTATACTGTATTATTTAAGTTGTTGCTAGTTCTGCTTTATTTCCTTGTTAATTGTTTAGCACCAATACACCAAGTCAAATTCCTTGTATGTGTAAATAAAACCCGATTCTGATTCTGATTCTGATTCTGATTCTGAATGATCCAGATTTAAAAAAAAACCAGGATCAGAGAATCCAGATCACTCTGACCCTCTTTGTTCAAAGGAAACTGGACTGGATCCCCCTGATCCAGGTTCGGACTTTGAAAGAAGACTTAATCCAGATTATTTGAGGGCCTTCACATGACATACTTTAGTCCATAGGGGGCGCCATATATCAACACAGCTGCTGTAAACAATAACGTATCCGCCCCCTGCTGGGATCAGATCCTCCTCAAAGTTTTTTAACCTTAAATGAAGTTTAACACAAATTGGAGGTTTGATCTGAAGTCCTCACTAACAGAACCCTGTTTTAAACCTGTAGCACCCTGCTGTGTTTCAGAGGTCTCACCTGCAGCAGAGAGCGAGCATGAAGAGAGAGATGGCAGTGAAGTCAAATTTGTTCCAGACATCCTGGATGTAGTTCTTCATACTTTGGATCACGAAGTTGCTGCCCATGAAGAACGTCTGATAAAAAAATACAGAAAACCGAGTCAGTCTGTGAGAGTTCAGTTTTGTAGTTTTGTAGTTTTGTAGTTGCTCATACATTGAGAAGAAGAAACATGATGAATGTTTTTCAGGTTAGCTGCGTCTGAACGTCTCACCTGTCTGATCTCTTCACACACCAAGGTGAAGACCCAGAAGTAGAGCACAAACTCCAGGGTGGACGGACCTTTGGGGGGCGGGGGCTTGAAGTCCACCAGCAGAACGTATGCAAATAGGCAGAGGAACAGGAAGTACATGAGCACATTCCCTAGGAAGGAGGTGACGGGAGCAAACCAGAACTGTCTCCACCGCGACAAGATGAACGGCCTCTTTGAGTTTGAAGGTGAAGGCTCTGCGGTCAAGAGGAGGAGAGAGAGAGAGAGAAGTTAATACATGTTCATAAACTCTGTGAAGACGCACAGACCTGCAGAAGACTCTCAATACTTTTTGTTTTTAATGTCCAAAACTCCTGCAGAGTGTCTAGACTGAACAAATATGTTGGCATGTGCAAACTAACATCTCTCTCTCTCCCCCCCCCCTCTACGATCGATCATTAAAGGAGCAGTATGTGACTCTGCCCCCTAGTGTTTAAAGTGGGTACTGCAGTCTAAATTCTAAACATCATAGACAGCTGTCTCCCCCCCCCCCCTCTCTAGAGTCGATGCTCACTCAGGTTGCCATGTGGTGGACTCTGAAGCTTCAGTGTTTATCCAGCTCTGCATCGGTCTGTAAACCTTTCTGTGTTCTAACCTCTCTCCATTTTTCAAAAGCATCTCCAATATTGATCCTAGTTTGAGCACGTTTCTGCTCGTGAAGCTTATTAGAAACATGCAGAGGCTTTTTAGGTCGAGTACAATCACTTCTATCTGAACCACTTCTCTTGCCCGCTTCCATCGCTGCAACACCTGTTGACCTGATAACTGCTCTCATATCTGGCAAACCGAGGGGCGTCCAAAACAGCCGTGTGGGGGGTCGCCTTAAAAGCGCCTACCTTCTCTGGTCCAAACAAATCCAGAGAATTCAGGACCAGAATCTAAAGTTAGAAGGAGGACATACTGGCTGCTGCATTGTTGTCAGAGAAGCCAGCACTTCAACATAGCATGTTTCCTTAATGTCTGATCATATAGTAAGCTCACTTTATCATTTCATCAACATTTTGATGATCTGTATCCTCGCTCACCTTTCAGGTTTTCTTTCAGAGCTCTGAGCTCCTCAGCTTCTTCTTCACTGTGACACAAACACACAGACGATCAGAGAGTTCGTTTTGAAGATATAAAAACATCATAAAGTCTCATGTTTGTTTGTTGAGCTTTACTTCTGTGTGATGTCGGCGAAGGAGCAGACCGTGGCGTCGTTTCCCTCTAGACTGTCTGTGTCTCTGTACTGATTGAACTCCACAGACTTCACCTCCTCCTCCTGCTCCCTGAAACACACACACACACACACACACACACACACACACACACACACACACACACACACACACACACACACACACACACACACACACACACACACACACACACACACACACACCTTAGTCTGTTTACTAAATCAACTGTTCAGCTCCTGTTACAGTCATGGATCATCCAGGTCCAGGTCTTTTTTCCCACCATATCACACAGTAACACACACAGTAACACACACACAGTAACACACACACACACAGTAACACACACACACACAGTAACACACACACACACTCTTACCTGAAGCTGATGAGCTTGGTGTAGAGGAGGGGGGGCAGGAAGAAGGTGAGGACCAGCTTCCAGACCTCCGTGCTGCGCTCCATGTCGCCCCACCAGATCTGAGACAGCAGAGACTGAAACATGAAGAAGTGTCATCAGCTCAGCTCCACTCAGTCTGTTAAACCGTCTGAGATCACGATCTGTACCTGAACGCCATCATGGCTGAAGAACAGGCGGGCGTCTGCTGCTGTGGCCATCTGTAGACAAGTAGCTCCGCCCCACACCGGAGACGTCCTTATAAGGAGAGTGAAGGAGCGGCTCTCACTGTTCTGGTAACACTCTCCAAACACATCTACACACACACACACACACACACACACACACACACACACACACACACACACAGAGTGAGATGAAGATGATGGTTCAGGTTCTATCTGTTTTATTTCTATGTCTCACCTTGTGCGAGGTCTTCAAACCTCTGAGCGAGCTCCTTCATGGACACTTTGTTCTCCGTCTCAATCTCCAGCCGAGAGAGTTCTCTGAGTATCTTACAGCCAGACAGAGCGCTCAGCACCGACTCCCCCGCCTCACAAACACACACACACACACACACACACATACACACACAGACACAGACACACATACACACACACACACACACACACACACACACACACACACACACACACACACACACACACATACACACACAGACACAGACACACATACACACACACACATACACACACAGACACAGACACACAGACACACACACACACACACATACACACACACACACACACACACACACACACACAGACACAGACACAGACACAGACACAGACACACACACACAGACACACACACACACACACACACACACACACACACACACACACACACACACATTTTAATACTATAGATTGAAGTACTTGACGTTGACGTACGTCAGGTGACTCTCACCATCTCCCAGAAGTAAATCGCCATCTCGCTACGGTTCTGCAGCACGGCCCAGATGAAGAGGGCGGACCAGGGGGTCAGGCAGCGCCGGTCCCGGTACAGACACTCCCCAAGAAGCATCTTGTTGACGTGCTGCAGAGAGAGAGAGATCATCACTGTGATAACAGCAGCTTCTCTGATAGGAGAACATAGATCTAAAGAACATAGAAAGACTCTGCTGTGTGACCTTCAGAGCCCTCCTGGTGCTGGTGTTGTGGTCCAGGCCCAGAGGTCCGTAATAGAAAGGCTGACAGACGTCACCCAGCAGGTCCCACAGCAGCCGAGACACCTGCAGATCCAGAACAAGATGAACCCTAACCCATCGTTACACACAGAGGATCAGTGAGGCTAGTGGATCCTCTTCCTCACCTCGTACAGGTTCAGCTCCATGGCGGAGGCGGTGCCACTGAGCGCGCTCTGTGGACTTTTGAGCGGTGATGTCACAGGGTCCAGGCGAGGCAGCGTCCCGGCGAGGTCCTGCCGCTCGCTCAGACGTCTCTGCAGCAGGATGTAGGCGAGCGAGCTGTCAGACAGAGAGCGGTACAGACTCTCCAGACGGCCGTAAGACAGGTAGTCCACGATGTTCAGACCGTTCTCACAGAACAGACGCACAAACGTCGGTTTGTCATTTATCAGGGCGTCTGTCATCAAGTCCTCCAGGTCCTCATACTGTCAAAATAAAGAATCTGATCACTTCCTGTATCTACAGCAATCACATTGATCAGATATTGACCTCTGACCTTCCACTGGATGGCTCCGTTGAACAACTCCGTCTTGGCGATGTCCACTCTGTTCCACGCCACGGCCAATTTGAGCTCGTCGGTGTACTCGCTGGCTTCACTGGACACTCGTTTACTGGCTGCACACGTCAACGTTTAAACATTTAGACTGATGAAGTCAGCTGGGCCTCAGATGAAGTCTGTTTCTGTTTTCTCACCTCCAACCAGAGCTTTGAGAAGAACTGTATCAAACTCCTCTGAAGACTCCTGAGCGCCATGAAACACCGTGATGAGATCTCTGTGCTGGAAGATACTCAGAGCCTGAACAAAGGGGGGGGACAGAGACAAAGACAGAGAGAGATTGAGAGAGAGAGTGAGAGAGATACAGAGAGAGTGAGAGAGATACAGAGAGAGGGAGAGTGAGAGAATGAGATAGATAAAAACTTTATTGATCCCAAGGGAAATTCAAAGCATCCAGTAGCAGGTTACAAAGACGTACATGACATGAAAAATTTGTTACAAATTAAACCGCAAAACCGACGCCCCCCCTCCCATACATATATTAACCTGAAAAAAGATTTAAAGAATACCCCTAGATGAAAAAAACATAAACTGTGCAATTAAAAATAGACTTATACAAGAAATGCACATATAAAAATATATGTGTAATTTAAAGCAAGAACCTATAAACAGTTGAGGGAAAAAATCTGTAATTAGACCTGAATATTAAAAAAAAAAAAAGAGTGAGAGAGAGTGTGCGAGAGAGAGAGAGAGCGGGAGAGAGAGAGAGAGAGGGAGAGAGAGAGAGACAGAGAGAGAGAGAAACAGACAGAGAGAGAGAGAGAGAGACAGAGAGAGAGAGAGAAAGACAGAGAGAGAGAGAGAGGGGAGAGAGACAGGATCCAAGGATCCAAGGATCGGAAAACTGCCTGGATAATTTTCAAAAGGACTTTCAGGACATGAAGGAGGAGACGGAAAAGAAAGAGGGGAAACTCAACAACCTCAGAGGCAGACAACATAAGTAAGTCTGACAGCCTCACTACATCCAAAAAAGCTTAATTTCTACCGTCTCCTGAGACTACTCCCAGGTTCTCCAACAGTTTGAAGACTCTGAAAGAAGGTCTGTCTGTGCTGGAGAGGGAATTCATGGAGTTCAGAGAGAAAACCCTTGCTAACCTGCATCAGAAAACTTCTGTTAAACAACAGAAGAACGAAACACACTGATCCTCCAACAACAAGATCAGATTAAAGAACTACAACAGGCTGTGAGAGAGCTAGAGGAGGATAACCAAGCTCTTCGGATGATAATGTGGACACTGAGAGAGGAAATTACCATCATCAACCAAAGCAGAACAAGCCAAGAAGAGGATCGTCAGATAATAGATGCCACCTCTCCCCCATCTGAAATGAACCAGTCAGGATGCTCAGTATCCTCAACACCTCTATCTCTAGTCCCACCAGCCTACCCAAAGCCTTCAAGTAGAGACACACACTTCTCTGTCAGCCAACCTAAAACACAAATGAATATTGCCACACATAAAGAAATCCTGTTTATCAGTGACTCCAACGGGCAACACACACGGCTGTTTCCTGAGAAAATATCAGTGAAACTCTGGAGCCCAACAACAGATAAAGCCATGGAACATCTGTCCAGTGGAAGGTTTGAGGGAGTAGAGCATATCATCATTCACACCGGATCAAATGACCTGACCAGGAGAAAAGGTGATATACCTACAGCACTGTGGCAGCTGGCAAAAAGAGCCACCAAGGACTTCCCCTCCGCAAAAATAACAATATCCACATTACTGCAACGATCGGACATTCCTCAAAACATCACTAACACTATTAATTCTGAGATCGATAGGAGCTGCATTCAGATACCAAATGTGAGTGTGGCACACCATGACAACATCAGCTACCACCACCTGCATGATAGCATCCACCTCAATGACACAAAGACACAGCTCTGAAAAGAGAACCTCGAAAACAGCAAGGCTTCCCCCACCCTCCTCTGGAGAACCGCAGGTACCTACACCCTCCCCAAGAACACAGATACACAAGACCACCAACCACCTTCACAACCAACAAAAATATCCCCAACCTCTCAGTCAGAGAGACCAACGCCCTCCCCAGGAACACCAGGGAGGAAACCAGCCTTTCCCAGAGCACCAGGGTAACCCCCATCAGATGCAGCGACCATACCCTCACCCCCACCCTGGGCAGATATACCCTCACCCCCAGCCTGGGCAGATATACCCTCACCCCCACCCTGGGCAGATATACCCTCACCCCCAGCCTGAGCAGATATACCCTCACCCCTACCCTGGGCAGATATACCCTCACCCCCACCCTGGGCAGATGTACCCTCACCCCCACCCTGAGCAGATATACCCTCACCCCCACCCTGGGCAGATGTACCCTCACCCCCACCCTGAGCAGCGACACCGAGCCTCTCAGCAGCAGCCGCAGCAGCAGCAGCTCCCCCCATCACAGCTGTCTCTTCATCAATGGCAGGAACATTACCCCCAGAAAGAACAACCAAATGAACATCTTCTGGAGTACACCCCACTAAAAGAAATCCCAACAGAGAGAGACACCTACGCTGATGTCGCTGCCAGAACAAAGGTTCCTCTGCAACACCAGAGAAGAGACAATATTTATCCTTTTATCATTAGTTAATTAACTATTTGGTTAATACGTTGAATTTATACTGCACATATTTGATTGTAATGATTTATGGTATCTTGGACACTTTGTTATGAAGCACTACACTTTTAATTGAGAGAATTGCATCCTTTTCTGTTAGTAGTTGGAATATTCAGGGACTGAAGTCCTCTACGTTTGGAATGAAAACTTCAAACCATGATTTTGTAAATAGTATAGGAAACATTGATATTGTAATCTTACAGGAAATATGGCAACATGAGAACACCCCCTCAAACTGCCCAAGTGGCTACACTGAACTGAGTGTACCATCGGTTAAACATTCCCATATAAGAAACGGCAGACAGTCAGGAGGAATCCTTATTTGGTATAAACAAAAACGTTTCAATCATATCTCACCCGTCAAAAAAGGGAAAAATCATATTTGGGTCAAAATTAAAAAAGGACTCATTGAAAACTACAAAGATGTTTATTTATGCGTTATTTATTGACCCCCTTCAAGCTCCCCATATTATTCTGAAGAATACCTCCCAAGAAGTCCAAAGAGAAATACTTAACTTCCAGTCACTCGGTTCGGTGTTATTACTTGGGTAATAATTTGGGATTTTGGGATTTGAATGCCAGAACTGGCAAAGAGAAAGATTGTATTGATACAGATGGAAATATTCATTTAAATATATCTCCCTTAAACCAGCCTGTGGTTACAGAACAAAGACAAAGCGATGATAGTACAGTTAATAAGAATGGGAAAGACATCTTACAAATGTGTAAATCTCTAGGACTCTATATAGTGAATGGTAGGACCTGAGGAGATTCTCTGGGCAGGTTTACCTACTGCTCTGTTTTAGGTAACAGTGTAATAGATGATGCAATCACAGATCTCGATTCAGACCAAATTAATGCATTCACAGTCCTACCCCAATGTCCCATATCAGACCACAATCAGATCACACTGTATTTAAAGACATTAGAGACCCAGACTCCTAACAACACACCCGATGACGACCTGTTAGCCCTCCCCAAACATTACAAATGGACAGAAAACAGCCTCACACACTACACCAACACATTTAACAATGCTAACATCCAAAACATGCTAGATACATTCCTAAGCAGACAGTACCCCATAAACAAAGAAAGCATTAATTTGACTACAAAAGATTTGAATCAAATATTTATTAAATTAGCGAAAGAATCCAGAATGAAGAGACCAAGTACCAAATGGAACCAAAAACCAGCCAAAGAACTGTGGTTTGACAGTGAATGTTGCTCTTTCAGGAAACATATCAGAAAACGGTCAAACAGGAAACACAATGACCCTGAAAACAAAGAACTGCGTCATGAATACCACACCGCCCTTCAACAACACAAAAAGATAATCAATCAAAAGAAAACTCAAAACTCAGACAATGAATTAATGAAAATCGAAAAGGCAATAGACCAAAACTGTTTTTGGAAACTTTAGAATTTTTTTTACCCAAGAAAACATAAAAACAACATCGCCATTCAGAATGGCAACATTTGGAAAAGCTACTTCTCCACTTTATATCAAAATCAAGAACAATTCGGTTTAAACACACATCAGATCATCACAATAGACAAATTAAAATCATTAGAAAATGTAATAAAAGATAATCAAAGTACTTTGGACAGTCCGATTACAATGGAAGAGCTACAGGACAAAATGTCTAACCTGAAGAATGGAAAGGCGTGTGGTATCGATGGGTGTCAGAGCAGAGATGTTAAAACACGGCAGCAGGAAACTTCAAGCAGCTGTGCTTCAATTATTTAATTTAGTTTTAAAAAGTGGTGTATATCCTGATATATCCTGAACAAGGGTCTGATTACTCCTATTTTTAAAAATGGAGATAAACTGAATCCCAATAATTATAGAGGAGTCTGTGTCAGTTCCAATCTGGGGAAACTGTTCTGTAGTATATTAAATTCAAAAATCCTGTCCTACCTGACTGAAAGTGACATTCTAAGTAAATCCCAAATTGGCTTTCTCCCCAAACACAGAACAACAGACCACATCTTCACTCTCCAGAGTCTCATCCAGAAACATGTACAGCAGAAGAAGAAAGGGAAAATCTTCGCTTGCTTTGTAGATTTCAACGGCCTTTTCTATCAGCTGCTCCAAAACGGTGTAGGAGGAAAAGTTTATGATCTGATTAAATGTAAATACTCTGAAAATCAATGTGCTGTAAAAATTGGACAAAAAAGAACTGAATTCTTTAAACAATGTCGTGGGGTCCATCAGGGCTGTAATCTGTCACCGACACTTTTCAACATTTATATCAACCATTTAGCCAAACTACTGGACGACTGTCCTGCCTCAGGACTGGACTTACAGGGACTACAAGATATGAAGTGTCTTTTCTATGCAAATGATTTGTTACTGTTATCACAAACAGAACAAGGTCTATAAGAGCTTCTAAACATCCTCCATCAGTACTGTGAAAACTGGAACATCAGTGTGAATCTAGAAAAAACTAAAGTCATGATATTTCAAAAGAAAGCAAGATCACAAAGCCAAAAATATCTGTTTAAATTGGGAGATTTAAACATTATTAAACCACACAATGGAGTACACGTACATGGGCCTAGTGGTAACTGCATCAGGACATTTTGGTAAGGCTGTGAGTACATTGGCTGATAAAGCTCGTAGGGCTTATTACAGCATAAGAACAAACTTGTTCAAACTCAACCCCCCAATAAGGATTTGGATAAAAAAATTCAAAAGTGTGATTGAGCCAATTCTGTTATACGGAAGTGAAGTCTGGGGCCCATTAATCAAAGAGCAGCTCTGGGACTCAAACCCAGTGGAAAGAGTCCATCTGGAGTTTTGTAAAAACATATTACCAGTCCACAGAAATTGTCCAAACCACGGCTACAGAGCCGAGCTGGGCCAGCTCCCTCTACTGATCCACATTAAAAAAAGAAGGTTGAAGTTCATGAACCACCTGATTGAGTCCGAGTCCGAGTCACAGCAACACAGTGCTTATTTAGAACACACACACTCTCTGATCACTGATAGAAACATCACACATAGATCCACATATCAAAGCAATGCCCTGATCCCCAACTCACAAATTCAACAAACAGACAAAGATAATAAACAGAAATATATGAATCAGTGGAAATTAGAAACCCAAACAATACATAGATTAGAATGCTATAGTTTACTGGACAGGGAATTTAAATTAGCCCAATATTTAAGAGAAATAAAAGAACCTCTTAAAAAACAAACAATGACTAAATACAGGCTCAGTGATCACACACTGGCTGTAGAAACTGGTCAACATAGAAGACAGTGGTTAGAGAGATCTCAGAGAGTGTGTGTGCACTGTGGAACAGGACAGGTGGAAACTGAACTTCATTTCCTCACTAGCTGCCCCACATATAAAGACATTAGAGACACCTTCTTTCCCAGATTTAATGATCGAATCCCGGCTTTCTTTCCCTCCCTAAAGAGGAACAGATGAGAATCACTCTGGGAGAAGAGAGCTCGACTGTAGAGATATCAGCAGAATATGTGTCTGCATGTCATCGAGTGAGAGAGGGTTCTATGTAAGTTATTTATATTCAAGGTTTTTCATGTCACAATACATGTCTGGTCACAATATAATAATAATAATAATAATAATAATTTTCATTACTCCTTTATGTAATTGTATTTTTCTTCATTATTTAATTTCATATGTAAATGATTATAATGTGTATTGTATATTTTGCTTTGGCAACATGTTTAACCCAAACATCATGCCAATAAAGCCTTTTGAATTGAATTGAATTGAGAGAGAGAGAGAGAGAGAGAGAGAGAGAGAGAGTGAGAGAGAGAGTGAGAGAGAGACTGAGAGAGAGCGAGAGAGAGAGAGAGACAGCGAGAGAGAGAGACTGAGAGCGAGAGAGGGTGAGAGAGAGAGAGTGTTCTTGTCATATACCAACATAAGAACTCTTACTTTGTCCAGCAGTCTCTCCATCTCAGTCTCGGCAGTGAAGTATCTCCGCAGCCTGTCACGGACTCTGTCGCGGAGCTCCGTGCTGAGGCCCTCAGCAGCCTCCCCCTCTGCGGGGGGGGAGGAGGGGGAGACGTCAGTCAGCAGCTCACTGATGAAGTCTGCAGCCGGACCAGAACCAGACAGGACCAACCAAGGGGTCTGTTTCCTGAGGGAGGAGTCTAACCTCTGAGACACAGAGCGAGGGAGATTTAACATCACCTCTCCTGACATGTTGTTTATCTAAACCCCCCCACCATCAGAAACACATGTGCAGAGGGTCCTCACCTCCAGCATGCTGGAATCTCCTGAGATCAGCATACAGAGCACGGGGATCTCTATACTGCCACTTCCTGTTTTCATTTAACAGAAGAAGAAGAAGAAGACATTTTAAGTACGTCTCAGAGGTCACCTTTAAATGTGTCTGTTCAGATTTCACTCTTTCATCACCCCAGATGCCAGTGCGCTGATGGGAAATGTAGTCCTCCAGGCTGGCCCTGAAGCCGGTCTCTCCACCCCGCCGGCCAACACTCCCATCATCCACCAGGAGGAACGCCTGACAGTTATTATCCAGACAGCAGGAGTCATGAGACGTGTCCTGGACGTGGTAACGAGCAGGAAAGCTGCCCTGAAGACAGGAAACACAAGAAGGTGAACATGTTTCTACATCCTGGTTACCTGAGAGTGACACCTCCTCTACATCCTGGTTACTTGAGAGTGACACCTCCTCTACATCCTGGTTACCTGAGCGTTGACGAGCTGCTGTCTGTTATGGACCAGCCCCCACGGAGCCACGCCCAGTGCGATCACCTTCTTCTGGGTCAGAGCCGGAGCCGCCGCCCCATGGTCCCTCACTGCCTCGCACACACAGCGGGCCACGCCCTCCCTCAGACCCCCCGTCAGGATCCACGCACCTGGGTCAAACACGGGGGAGATGTTTATAATATTATTATTATTGCATCATACCTAATGTCTCAATTTAACCTCAGCATTCTCCATGTTGATGTCTGTGTGTGTGTATGTATGTGTGTTCTCACCTGTATGTGTGTGTTTGTGTGTGTTCTCACCTGTATGCGCGCGTGTGTGTGTGTGTGTGTGTGCATGCGTGTTCTCACCTGTATGTGTGTGTGTGTGTGTGTGTGTACCTGTGCTCTGCGCAGCTCTCACCAGTCCGTTCCTGATGACGTCTCTCACCCACGGTTTGATCTTCTCCGGGCCCTCCCCCCCCACCACAGACACCACCAGGTTGGGGGAGGGGAGCCCCCAGCGCTGCGTCATCAGGTTGTAGACGATCTGAGGGGGCGTGTCACATGACAGACGGAGAAACTACAAACATGGAGGGAGACAGAGTCCGACAGCACATAAACAATCCTCCCCTCATAAGAGGGCGGAGCTTTAGCAAGGTGAAAAGGTCAACAACAAAGTGCCCCCTCCTTTATAAATGACATCATCATCCTGCACCCCTCACATGGCTGTGTCTGCGTCCAACGCCGGCGAACTCCAGCTCCCCGTAGGCGTCAGTGGGACCCTCAGAGGAGTGCTGTCTGCTGTCCCACTGAGTGACGATCGCCGCTCCAAAGAAATCTCCTGTAGCCACCGAGCCATGCTGCTCACGCACGCCACCACACTGACACAACGCCCCGTTACTGTACAACACAGAGACACACCTGTGATCACCTGTGGAGTCACCTGTGGACTTACCTGTGGAGTCACCTGTGGAGTCACCTGTGGAGTCACCTGTGGAGTCACCTGTGGAGTCACCTGTGGAGTCACCTGTGGAGTCGGCTCTCTGATTAAAGAATCATCTGAAGGATTTCAAACCTGACCTGGAGGAGTCTTCTACGAACGTGGAGCAGATCCTCTTCTTGATGACCTTTGGGATCCAGCTCTGAGAAACAGGAAACAGGAAATCATTCAGCAGGATGTGTCCTCTGTGAGATCTGATCTTCAGATGGTCATGTGAGGATCAGATCAGCTGTAGGACTCTTTATGAGCGTGATGACGAGCTGAATGTGGATTCATATATTTATTTATTTATAATCTGTCAAACAGGTTAAAAAAAAAAAAAAAACCCAGCTGTTTCTCCTTTTGCACTTCTTCTTTGTGTTTGTTGGATGGGGGGGGGTCACAGAGGGAGGGGGGGAACAGACCATACTGCTCTATTAAAGGTGAGGTCAGAGATCAGGTAACAACCCTGAAACTACAAGGTCTGATTACGCTGAAGAGGAGGAAGAGGAGGAAGAGGAGGAGGAGGAAGAGGAAGAGGAGGAGGAGGAAGAAGAGGAAGAGGAAGAGGAGGAGGAGGAAGAAGAGGAAGAGGAAGAGGAGGAAGAAGAGGAAGAGGAGGAGGAGGAAGAAGAGGAAGAGGAGAATGTTTCTCCTGCAGCTCTTTGCACAGAATGAGGGTCTCTATGACGTCACACAAACGTTCAGAGTGTTTCATGCAAACACAGTTTAGTGTACGGACAAACACAACCAGTCTGAGGGTCTCTTTAAAGTCTCTTTAAAGTCAGCCAAGATCATGTTTTTCTCACACACACACACACACACACACACACACACACACACACACACACACACACTCTGATTTGCTCCTACATTCCCTGACATGGATCTGCTGGTGTGAGATCATTATCGTTTTCCGTTCTGACAAACTGCGTCTCTACTCTCAAACATGCAGCATGTACAAACACATGAAGATTATTATGAAAAGAAATAAAAACATTAAAAACCTGCAGAAACACAAAGACCGGCTTGACCAGAATCTGTTTCTGGTCAACGAGCAGCCCGTTAGTTAATGGACTGTTTTACATGTTCCTCCTGTGTGTTTCCATAATAACACACACACACATGTTGTCCCCACACTGAGCGTGTCGGCTAAACAGACGACAGAAACATTCAGCGTCAGAAAGTGGAACAGGAAGGATAGGAGCTTTTTTAATTTCCCTCAGAGTATCGTAGGCATTTCCCCTTTGAATGTCTGAACTGGCTCAGCAGCTCCTACAGACCCACAAACAGGTTTTCTTTTTTGTAAAGGTCTTCAGAGTAGACAAACAAATGAAGTGAACTTGAGTGCAGGGATAATTTGTAAAGCAGATCAGATTACAGTAAGGACAGACAGATATTATCATGATGACAGTTCTCTGCTCGCAAGAGGTGAGCTGTGTACAGAGTTATCAGTAAGAAAGACTTCCTGAAATGATTTCACTCTTATATCACTCGGTACACTCATCACACTCCATTATATCATTCTGTACACTCTTATATCCCTCGGTACACTCGTAGTCAAACTTTTGAACTCTGATTTAACTGGTTTGAGGAGTGCAGCGGTCTGAGGATCATACCTCCACCCCCCCGTTCACAGAGCAGCATCCAGGTGATTCTTACCTGATCTTCCTCCTTCCTGCTGCCAGCCTTCCCTCGTCCTCCGTTCTCCTGCTCCTTCATCCTGCTCCGCTGCAGCTTAAGTCTGCTCAGAAGGATGTTGGTCAGCTGTTCACCCTTTAGTTCCAGGAGGTCAAAATGCTCCAGCAACACACATCAGGGTCATCAAGAAACAGATTAACAAACATGCCCTTTAGCTCCACCCACAGCCTCCTTTCTGCCCCGCCCACAGGGCTTGAGGGGCGTCGGTGGAGGGTGACTCATTCTTTACATTCTCCTGAATTCTGTTTGATTCAGGAGCAGGAACAGGAAATCACCTCCTTTAGGTTAATGACAAACAGAGACTCTAGAGCCGACAGTCTCCGAGCAGTACCGTCCTCTCATGGGGGGGGGGTATCCTCGCCCCTCTCAGTCATTTCCTGAACACAGGGAAGTCAGACGTCACCCACATTGTTGAGCTCAGGCCTCTCAGCAGGTTAACCAGCTGATCCTGAACACACACACACACACACAGGAGCTCAGGTGAGATCACATGACCTCCCTGTGGTCCTCCATCTCTCTGCAGCCGAACACTGTGGCGGCAGTGGTTGCGTCTTATATGTGTTTCTATATTTCTTGTTTTCACCTGGCTGTTAAGCTCCTCCCCCTCTTGGTGACACTGTAAATTTGTAAATGATCACATTTCATTTAAGTCACTCAGCAGAGTGCAGCACATTTCTTGCAACTTTTGAGAACTACTGTTGCCGTGGCAACAAACAGGTATTTATATTATTTGATTTTTACTCATATCAAAGTTTTTTTAAACTCTGGTCATGTGACACTTCAGCTATGAATTAAGACTTGAACCTGAACATGATTTAGAGTTTCCTGCTTTTCAGGCAAATAAGTGAAATATATTTGAGTTGATGTCACAGGAAGGAGACGGAGACTCTCTGGAGCCTCAGTCCTTCAGAGTTTAACTTAATCGGTTTTCTGAAAAAACGATTAAAGATGTTTACAGGTTAAACCGTCCATCCTGGGTTTCTGTGTGTTGTTCCTGTTACTTTGTGTGTGTGTGTGGAGACAACAATGTGAGATTAAGGAGAGGGTGCAGGAAACATGAGCTGATAACTTGGGAAACAGTTTCCTGTCATTCCATCTCATAATAACCACAAGGACAGTTATAGCTCATTAGACTGTGGGAGGAGCTACAGGGGGCAGAGCTACATGGCAGTTTGTTTGGTACTTTATGAAGCCATCACAGCTTTCATTGAATCCTGTTGATCAGTATCTGATACTACCTCGTCCTCTGCTGCCCCCTGCTGGTTCAAAGTTTACAATGATCCTTAATAAAGTTTAACACATTAAATTACTGCTGCAGACTGAAGCGTCTCTTAGAGGTTTGACCTCCTGTTGTTTTACACATTACCATGGAGACAGACTAGTGTGTAAGGACATCTTCAGGTGACTTGTGATCACTCAGGTTTGACAGTAAAGTAAAGTCATGTTTTGTTTGTAAAAAGGAGTCAATGCAAGAAGTTACATTTACAGTTTATTAGTTTATTAAAAAAAACGCAGCAGCGGCAAAACAAAATACAAAAAAAAAGAAAAATAAGATGGTGTGAGACGGAGCTGACTCTGCAGAGGACGACATGGTTACTACTGTTTAGACAGACACACACTGTTTCTGTACACTGACACACACGAGAGCCAGACCCCCTTCTCTTCAGGTCCACCTTTAACTCGAACTACAGGCTGCAGCGGGATCTGATGGAGGGAACATTTCTGCAGCTCAGACTTCATGCACGACGCAGCAGCAACACCTCAGAGATCAACCGAGCATGTGCAGAGTCTCTGATGCACCGCGTTCCAAATGCAGACTACACGACAACTCTGAACGGGTTTACAGTCATAACCACAAATACAGTTCATTTCACAGTGTGCAGGAGGAGACACACACACCGCTGCAGGATTTATGTAACGTGTATGTGTGGGGGGATCTCTGCAGGAGGTTTTGTTTAATTGTTACAGTAAGCTGTGTGTGTGTTTCATTTACTACATGCTTAAACTACACACTATGAAGGTCAGCATGCAGTCAACCAGCCGTGTGTAGAGTCAGTGTGTAGCTTGTTTTAAGGACACAGTGCAGGCAGCGTTACTGGACTTTGAATCTTTGACAGAAGAACACAAAGAAGAAGTCTGGAACAAATAAAAGACCTTCTGCTCGTGTTGTTCAGCCTTTAAGTTCTCACAGCTCGTATTCTTAGTCGAGGTTTAATTTCTACTTTTTACAGCCGTTCAAAAGTAACATTAGGGGTGGGGCTTTAAGAGCATGAATCACAGCAGATTTTTGCAGCTCTATTTGACTCACTGCTGCTGTAATAACTCTACATCTCTGCACTGCATTCACACACTCGGCTGGTTCTGGTCTGAACAGCTTCGAGTCTATGAATTGTACACGTGGTGGAGGCGGGGTTTAAAGTAAACATGAATCTAAAGACTCGCAGACCTACAGCACTAACAGATGAGGAAGCAGAGCACACAGACTCATGTTTAACAAAGTGTGTGTTGGAGGGGTGTGTGTTTTCTAAGGAGGGGAGGGGGAAGGTTAAGGAGAGCGAACAGTGACTCTGCAGATGTGTGAACAGGGCCGCTGTGTTCATGTTGACATGGACACATGCTCATGACGAGAACCAACAAAACAAACCCCGGAAGAAGAAGACTCAAACAGCAGACACACACTCTGCTGAGAGACTACGGTACAATGAATCACCACGGCAATGTACTTAGACCCCGAGGAGGTGAAACCTTTAAATACTGTTTGAACGAGAAAATGAGAAAAAGAAGAAGAGTCTTTAAAATGTTGCTGCAGACGAGCGTCAGACTCTGAACAGACGAAGACTAGCGCATCCGGTACTCTGACGTCTTGGACACCTCGCACAGCTGACCCTTGAAGTCGATGTCGACGGTGAAGTCCAGGTCTCTCTGCGGACAAAAAAACCACACGTCAGACGGCACACATTTCTGTCCGACGGGGCATTCAGAGAACTAAACTGTCAGTGTCGATCTGGACGAGTACAGATTTAAAGTTCAGTTGGAATGTAACAAATGATGTGAATGACGAGTGATCAAAACTGAGAACTTAACATGAACAATCCTCCTTAAATAAACTCAGCTTACGTTGTTCTTGACGTTAGGCTTCATGCTGATGGTGCCAAAGATCTCCTCTCCAGTCTTCACAGTCAGGTAATCATCCAGGTAGAACACAGTCTGCTTCCAGTGAGTGTAAGGAGACTCTGGGCCTGACAGAGGGAAACAGGCTCCATTAATACAGTGTGTCAACAGTCCACAACATACACCTCCAAATAATACAGACTGAGGGCCACAAGATCCAAGAACCTGTAGCACACAGAGGATCCACCTGCAGGCTCCATCAGGTCAGTGCAGTCTAACCCTATCAGAAGGAGACCTTATTCTTAAATGCCTGCTCGATTAGTTTGTAGGAGTGTACTTGACAGACTTCTTAAACTGTCTGCTTTTATTCCCCTGTATTGGCCTGCGGATGTTCATGATACTGATTCAGAACCAAGTGGAACGAGCAGATATGTCACAGAGTTTGACTAGATGTTCAGCCGTGTTTGTTCCAGTCAGAGCTAATGAGACAAACTGCCTGCTGGGTAAATGCTGCACAGCGATCAGTCAGGTTCAGGATACAAGTGTTAAGACAACAGGTGTGTGGTGTGTTCACTTACTGGTAGAGAATCCGGTCCTCTTGTGGCAGCGAGTGAACTCGATGTTGAAGTAAGTGACCAGAGCGTGGATGTAGTCGTTCCTCTTCACCTGCAGGCAGAACGGCGAGGTGAAGGTGAGGTCGTCCGCCTTCACCGTGTAGATGTCCACCTCCTGAAAACAGATGGGGTCAAAGTTAGATCACACAATTCTCCTTTATACACACATATTTAGGATAGGATAATACTTTATAATCCCCAGAGGGGAAATTCAGGCGTTGCAGCACCACAGACAAAAAAGCTCAAAATACACATTAAACAGAATAGATAAGATAAATAAAAATAAAAACAGGTGGTATATACAGTACAAAAATGATGAAGTTAACTATGCAGGGAATTGAGACAGTATTGATGACGACAAGTGATGATTAAAGTGACTTGGTATGATAAATTATTATTATTGATTATCATTGGAATCATCAGAATCCACCCACCTTGATGAGACACGCGCTGCTGACCAGCTGTTTAGGGTCGACTACATCCACCAGGGGCTCCTTTATCGCCACCTCCTTAATGCACGACATGTCGAATCCGTACACGTTCTCCCACCCTGACACAGAAAGGTCAGATCATTAACACACAGGGACTCTTGACTGCAGATGTAGTCTCCTCACAGCACAGGATCACTGAATCATAACTAGACTATAATCCTCCCAGAAGGCATCTTTTCCCTCCAAACAGAGGACCTGTCATCCCTGCCCTGTGATTGGCTGATACAGAGCACTACCTTCAGGACTCTCAGCCAGGATTACATGTTGACACAGTCACATTAAGGTAAAGATCCTGTTTGACTTCAAACTAAAAATAACCACACTGTGACCTTTAACCTCATTCCTGGTCATGTTTAGGTAAGTTTTAAAAAGAGACAGAGTCAAAACATGTTGTCAGGAATATGTGGGCGTGGCCAAAATAACTGACAGCACCATTAACCAGTTAGATTTGGAGAAACTGATTTGGTTAGGGAAGGAGGACTTGACATATTTATAACCTGTCATGGTCTAATCAGAATAATTAAACACCTGTGTGAGAGCAAAGAGGCTTTAACCAATAAGCCAGGAGAACCAATCACAGCACAGTAAGCCGGCAGGGTCGACTCCACAGCCAAGCACACGTTTTTTTTTTACTGGCCATAATAATGTCACATCCATTTAATCAAGGTTTTATGTTGCTTCAGATAGAAATAACGAGTCATTATAAAAAGGTAGATCTGACGTGTGGCAGCTTCGGTACTCACAGTGGATTTTGTAGTCCTTGTACTGCCGGTCTTCAATGGCGGTGACGTAAAGAGTCGCCCTGTCGGGGAAGATGAGTCCGTCTGGTTTCTGTTGGAAAAGAAAAGACTGTTCAGACTACAGCTCAAACATGTTCCGGTTTCAACTCACCAGAAGCATCTAAACACAGATTTACAACTTAAAGAGAAAGATTCTGAGATCTGGATCAGAGTGCTTCTTCTACAGAAATATCTACAGTCTGTCAAATATTCAAACGGACGAGGTCGTACCAGCCACTTGTCCCTGCGTAGATGACCGTGTTGAGCATGGACTCGTAGAAGAGGCAGTAACCCATCCACTCCGATATGATGATGTCTACTCCCTCCACAGGCAGAGTCACCTCCTCCACCTTCCCCTTGATGATGGTCACAACTTCAAACCCAAAAAGAGAAGATGATTACTCCCTGATCCTGACACCAAGTTTCCCCTCAGCTCTGAATCTGCTCACTCACCATCATCCATCTTGTTGGCCTTCACGATCTTCACAGCGTAGTCTGAGATGCTGCTGCACTCGATCTGCAACAACAACAGTTTAAACTCACTGTGCAACCTGAAAGAAGACACTGCCTACACATGGATCCACATGTCTCAGTACGTACCCCTATAACCTTCTTGGCTCCGGCTTTAGCTGCAAACATGCAGAGGATTCCCGTCCCGCTGCCTACATCCAGCACCACCTTATCTTTGAACAGTGTTTGTTGTGAAACATGGAGTTACGGTACGTCAGGGTACGGACTTCATCCTTCAGCATCTCCTACAGACACACAAACACACACTGGGTTAAAGCTTTTATTTGTGGTAAATATGAAGCTGCTTTAGTGAGTTTATTTTCAAAGAAATCACCTCGTGGATGCCAAAGTGGGCGTAGGAGTCAAAGTAGTAATCCTTTGATGTCATGTCCTCGGCTGAAGGCTTGGCTGAGCTCTCCCCCTGAGAAACCTCAACAGAGACACACACAGTTACACACTGTTACATCACAACATGCAACACATTTTCAGATGGATTCTGTTGGCCAGGACATTCAAAGTAATATTGGAAGTGCTCATTTTACTCTAAATTACCAAAAAAAAAGGCTTTTTGCAGACAACTTCACATGTGTCATTACCACATCACACAGGATCGCACAGGTGTGCTGAGGTGTCAGTGGGCGGCCTGAGCCACTTAGGTTTAGTTCAGATTGTGATTCTGTTGAACTACACGCAGCATTGATATAAAGACAAATATTCTTATGAAAGCGTTGTGGACATTGCTGCTTCGTACTCCACTTCCATTGTGTTTTTTAAACACCATATCTTGCGTAAGGATTTCTGGAGCAGTCCTCCGGGAATTATCTAGAAGTTTTCAGGAGTGTAGATATGAAAACGTGTTGAAGTTTGCTGCTCCTGATACCAGGAGCTACTGATGATGATAAATGACCTGGAGAAGATCTGGCTGTCGATAATCTGTTTCATACGTTTATGATTGTGGGTAATCTTGATAAACATTTGATGATTAAATTGCTTTTGTTCAATGTCAAGTAATTTATTATATTTGTTTGAGCACTCTTAATCACAGCGAGGTCTTTTTTAGCTTTTTAAATATTATGTTCAAACAGACGATTTATGTAGCCTGAGGGTGATAAGTAACAAAGCAGATATCGGCAAACACAATTAAACCATTGAGGACGCGTCCTGCACCCTCAGGTTAATTTGAGTATCTTAGTTCTTCATCTGGGTACTGATTAGATTAATTAAATTATTAAATTAAGAGTTATGAGGGTTTCTGTGTTGGCCAAGTTGTAACCAGGCCAGCCTCCTCGGAGCACAAAGGTGGAGCACATGGTGCTTAACCTGAGAGTGATGGGGTAGCTTCAGGCCTCGCTCTTCACACACCGTTAACCTCACACACCGTTAACCCCACACAGAGACACCGACAGTCTAACCATCACCACTAATCCCCGGTAAGACCTACCGACCAGCAGGCCTTTAAACTGCAGCCGTGGCGCCGACACGCATGTAACGGAGTCCCGCAAAGTTACCTACAAGGTGTTAGACTTCACCTTCTGACCTCCTAATGAGTCATAAATCACACAAATGGACGTAAGAGCCGAGGTCAATTAACTGTTTACCACTAATGAAGCCGCTCACTGTGGGGACAGATGTGCGCATGAGTGTAGCATCACCAGCTAATGGTGGCTAACAGCGGGAGCTAACAGTGGCTAACAGTGGAGCAGCGTTGAAGCAGACGGAGAATGAGGCAGCATCCTCAAGCTAACATGCTAACACGTTCGTCTCCATGCGGTCCCTCCGGCTGATGAGACTCAGCCGGCCGCTTTTTTACACTTTCACCCCGGCTTAACACCCCGTGTCTGTGGGTACTCTGATAACTATACATTTACATTAACACAGACATTGAAGCGTAAACGTCTCTAGAGTTTGAATCATCTCTGAACTGCGTGTGTTTTAAATGAATGAGACTCTTCAGAAGTTAAAATGGTCGCATCTCTTTCTTCAGAGAACGTAACGACACGAAGCTCGACTTCAGACGGTTTTAAAACACTCAGACATGTTTCATAAATCAGTTTAAATCAGAGTTAATTAATAAAATAAAAACATATTTTAAAGCAGTATATTTTGTGTTTCCTGCTGTAAGACCTTACCTCCATCCTCTCTGCTGGTGCCGCCATTTCGATCTCCTGCCTGACTGCGTGAAGCTCGTGAGCTTCAAGGATCATACCTCATCCCGCCCACGACATCCAACTCTGACTTCTGATTGGACAGCAGGACTGAAGACCCCGCCCACTGCGATCAGTCACTTTCTTTGAATCTGAATATTTGACTGCGACTTACAGAAAAGAGATAAGTTGACCCTTGTTCACCTTGAATTCATATAAATTAATATATATATATATAATTAATTATATTTAATAATGACGTCATTTTCTGTGTTAATAAGTAATTGTTAACATTTTAGTCAATCTTATTTCTGTAAAATAAACGGAGAGAAGTCAAAGGAGAGCTGCTCCATTCAGTGGACCAGATCTGAGTTCCAGTGTTATTTTTCAGTCTCTTATAAATAATAACTGATTACTTACATTGCAAAACCAGTATATTATAAAACTTATAACAACAAATAAGCAATCTGAGTTAGTACACAGGTGCATTGCTTTGTAACACATCACCTCCAGCACTGCTGAATAAGGACTAAGTTCACTCAGAATGCATCACTATGTTGTCTCAGCCTTTGGACTGTTGGACAGTTAAAATGATTAACTCTGCTCCTCTTCTGTGGCCAATGTTTATTGTATTACAATCTGTACTCCTTAGAGGAACTGCTTGTCAACCGGCAACTGCTTGGGGCCTCAGACCAGTAGGGGGCCCCTGAGGGCTCATAAACAGTGGCCCTAAATGTGCAAATGACAGTAGGAAACCTCACTAAGGGGGCCCCATCTGACAGCACTTACTCTCGTATCCCTGCTGAAAAACCAAAGTTTTTCAATTAAATTAATTTAATCCGTCTATAGAGTGAAAAAAAAGAATCAGGAAAAAGAGGAAGAGGAGTGATGCTGCATTCAGGTGCTCCTCGGACGATCCCAGTTCCTGAGTCAGGAAGTCGTTCTTCTGACTTCAGTGTGTTCACATGATTTCAGTTTGGAAAGTTGGAATGTTGAAACAACCACAACACACAGCGTGGACACTACAAAGACGATGATTAATAAAAAGTATCTTAACGCTAATAAAACATTTTTGCCCCTCGTGACAACAATTCAGATGTCAAGTCGGCAAGTTGGGCACCTTCATTTTTTTTTTGTTGAGTTTTTTCCGACTTGAGCAGGCGCTCATGTGCATTTACAACTTCAATGGTGATGTGTCCGACTCCACATGAATGGAGCATCAGCGTCGGGACAGACATGATGGGGATGATCGTCAGTTGAAGGGCCCCTAATTCATTTTTGCCCCGGGCCCCAACAGACTCTAGGATCACCACTGCTGCTCCTGTAAGTGGAGCAGACGGTGAGTTAATGAAACTACTAAATATGCAGGAGGAGTGTTTATAACAGAGGCCGTTTATCCTCTGATGGTCTTATTTATTATAGGAAAATAAAAACAAGAATTAGCAACAGAAATGAACCTCTAATAAAAGGGGGACTGATTATCGGCCTGGACAGTTATCTGTAGCTGCGTTTAATTTGACCGAATACCAATCAGATGAATAAATGAAAAGGTGTCTCTTTCTCTCTGGGTCTGTTTTTCACCACACTGTTAATATTAATGGAACAAAGTGCTGGATGTCGGTCAACCCAGACTCTTACTAAAGTTAATTTCAGATCCAGAAGTCCAAATGCAATAAATCTCTCCTCATTCATCTATTTACTCAAAAGAGAAGAAAGCCACATCACCCCCATCCTCCATGACCTCCACTGGCTCGCCACCCCTCCAGCATATCAACTTCAAACTCCTCATCATCACCTATACCTATACTTAGTTCATTCAAGTCACCAACGTCTTCTTTTCAAGTCAATATTCAGAAAACTGATTTTAAATTCACTAAATCATAATAACATCAAAGAAGCTGGAAGCAGCAAATGTTTGAAATGTTTCAATTCATTTGATTTTGATTTATGGTCGATCGTTCTCTCTTCAAAGCTGTCAGGGTCACTTTGATTGTAGAAAGCATTTAAAAACATGACGCCATAAAGATAACCCGTGTTTAATAAAAAACAATGTTCATGCTGTAACAAAGCTTCACTTTCTGTCTCTGTGACCCGACCTCGGATAAGAAGACGAAAAGGGATAAATGGAGTTTGTAAAATGTAAAATGTGCATTTATTGCAGCAGTAGCTCCCGATGTGGAACAAAGTATGGAAGTTGGTCTGGGAGCTGCAGAGATGACAGGTCACTGCCGAGGTGCCCTGGAGCAAGGCATTGCACCGAATCCCAAACAGACACAGCGTGCTCCATGTGTAGGCCCCTGACATCTCTCTATAACTGCACGTCCACAGGTTTGTGTCTGTGTGTTTTATATAGTGTGAGAAGCAGAGGGTTAGGGGACCCTACAGGGATGGATAAAGTAAATTTTTCTTCACTCTGTTTAGACTCAGAGAGAAACTCACCCAAACTAAAACTAGAGATTTATTTCAGGACCAATAAGAGCCTACCCCCCCTTTATGACGCCCATGGGTGTCAGATAAAGTCAAAGACACATTCAGCTGTTAGGTGCATGTTAACAGAGAAGCATCTGAACCTGTCTACGTTCATACTAATCTGCGTCCGTTGTTTATCTCAGCTCTCCTCTCTCTGATAACGGTTCAGCTCCAGCTCAGCCAATCAGCGCAGGGCTGGAAAGGAGCGTACGCGTGCCCGGGTACGTGGCGCGCGGTCCTGCTGTAGGTTCTTGTGTCACGAGCCTTACCGAGCCGCGGAGGCAGAATTAGTGCGGACCGGACATTTCATTTATCAGGTTTAAACAGAACAGGTGTTTAATGTCATATCGATGATCGGCAGGTAACTCTGTCAGCTGAGTGTTTCCGGTCAGCCGGTGATGTTTCCAACCATTTGAATGATATCGCTAGCCAGCTAGCTAGCTAGCTGTGGAGCTAGCTTTACGGTGCGTGACTCGAAGTAACTTAACGTTAAATCATCGGACGTTATTTTCATGAACGGATCTGACCGATTCTAGAAACATCCACGGAGTGTCTTTAAACCTGAATCAACACTACAGGTGAGCGCGGAGCTGCTAACGTTAGCCTGAGAAGGATTGAATGAAATAACGTTAGCTTGTCATAGCAGCGGAAACGAGCCAGTTAACCGGGATAACTTCTCCCTCTGCGGGTTTAACCACCGACATCCAGCTAATCTGCTACGCGCTAAGGGAGCTAGCCACCCACCGACACACCGTCACACCGCTAACAGGCACTCATAGGGCTGCTACCAGCGTCAGGTTGGCCCTTTGCAGTCAGGAGATCTGACCGTCGGTTCACGGTAACGGATCAGGCCGGAGAGAGGAGCTGACCGTCGGTTCACGGTAACGGATCAGGCCGGAGAGCAAACACCAAGCTGCCAACATGCCGGCTGTATCGAAGGGAGACGGGATGCGCGGATTAGCGGTTTTCATCTCGGACATCAGAAACTGTAAGTCACATTTAACACCGTTACACCCCCCCCCCCTTCATGTTATCACTGCTGTCATTAACAGCACGAACTGTAGTGACGTGACGTCATCACGGCACTACTACAGGTCTCCCTGATTCTCCTACGAGCCGTCAAATTCACACTAATGTAGAAATCAGTAGTTCCTCACGTGTTGTCGGTAACTGTACCGTAAATACGGTGACACTGTCACATCGGTCACACTGATAATAACCACAAACATCTCAACGACACATTGTACTCTCATTCTGAAATGTGTGTGTGTACACGATCCTGTGTGTGTGTGTGTGTGTGTGTGTATGTACATCTGTACGATCCTGTGTGTGTGTATGTACATCTGTACGATCCTGTGTGTGTGTGTATGTACATCTGTACGATCCTGTGTGTGTGTGTACATCTGTACGATCCTGTGTGTGTGTGTGTATGTACATCTGTACGATCCTGTGTGTGTATGTACATCTGTACGATCCTGTGTGTGTGTGTGTGTATGTACATCTGTACGATCCTGTGTGTGTGTGTGTATGTACATCTGTACGATCCTGTGTGTGTATGTACATCTGTACGATCCTGTGTGTGTATGTACATCTGTACGATCCTGTGTGTGTATGTACATCTGTACGATCCTGTGTGTGTATGTACATCTGTACGATCCTGTGTGTGTGTGTATGTACATCTGTACGATCCTGTGTGTGTATGTGTATGTACATGTGTATGATCCTCTGTGTGTGTGTGTGTGTGTGTGTGTGTGTGTGTGTGTGTGTGTGTGTGTGTTTATATAATTGTCATGTATTAATGCTGTTAATATGTTCAACGTCTTGTTTAAAACTCTAAAATCTTCTTTATTTAAATATCGAGTTGATTAAAAACACCAAAGATTTCAAATGGTCACCTGTCGGATCAGCCAGGTGAGGAGGAGAGGAAGGATTCATCATGAGGAAAACTAAAACGTCTCTGTTCCATTCAGAGTGTCCCAGTCATTAATCCAACATCAGGGCTCTACAGGACTTCTATTGTTGTTGCCGTGGTAACGAACACGTGTTGACATCATTAGATTTATATCAGAATCATATCAAATTTAATAAATAATCGTGATGTCACAGATCTGACACATCTGTATGTTCTTAAAAATCATATTTACTGTCAGAGAAGAAACTCATTTAGTTTATTTACCATCTATTTCAACTCTTTGCAGTATATGATATTAAATGTGTTATTTTATATTAGTGTGACACTGCAGCCCAACCTCCTCCTGACTTTGACCCGTGCAAACATCCTTAACAAGGTCAAACTAGAGGTCATGTAGAGGTCATAGTATCAGCATGTTGGGTGCGTCTGAAAGGTTCCTCACTGAGTGAAATGACCCCGAAGTGTTTCAGTGATAAGAGCCGTTTGAATTCTCTAAAAGCTAAGGAAAGGTGGGTCAATGCTTCCTTTATAACCTCCTTTAGGAGACACTGGACCATCCTTTACCTAAGGAGATGAGATAGGCCGACCCACAATTCTTTGCGGCCGCAACATTTAAAGCCAGTCGCTCATCTGACCGCTCACGAAAACTAACGATGATTGTAAAGTGACACAGATCATGTAAGGGATGTTTTTATCCAGATGAAGTTTCATTCACTTCAGAATGCTTTGTGCAGATAAACATTCTGTATATCTTTCATAAATGTAATAATATTTATTCTGATGTTGATGTACGAGTGGACAGGAAGCTAATGGTAGTCTATATGTCTTTTATTTCACTTCCTCGTGGTAATTAGGATTATTTCACCGGTAAGAAGGCACAGGGGAAAGTTTTTTAGATCTTTTAGTAGTCCATTTTCTGGACATTGTAGTTTCACCACGGCAGACCCACGTCATTAACCTCTGCCGGCCCGCCACATTAATGGCGTTGCCTACTGGAAATGTGGTCGGATTGTCAGAGCAGCGCCATCGCCATCTAAGTCCTTTATGAATTCTCCTAACATCTTTCCTTAACCTCATGACGTTTTCCCCGGGGTTAAGGTGAAGAGGATAGTGAAAGGAGATAGGAGGGATCCGGACCACCCCGTCGTCTGTGTGTGTCAGATGGAGGTCGGACAAAAAGTCGACTTATTTAAAATCGAGATTCTTCTCTTCTTTTTTTAAATATTTAAGATGTATTATTATTTAATTTAATTTGTCTAATCCGTCCCCCCTGCTCAGTGCTCTCTGTGCTGTAGATGGAGGTTTATTATTCATGAATAAATATGAATAGTTCCTGAAGTAGATAATCAGCTGCTGTGGCGACTGATGAAAACGTTCAGTGTGAACTCCTCTGTGATCATTATTTTATATATATATATATATATATATATATATATATATTATATAATGTTTAGGGGAGATTCACTCTGTGGGGGTTCGGTGCCTCGGCAGTACTCAGGAAGTGAACTGGACCAGACCAACTTCCAGACTTGTTCTGCACCGGGACTTGAACCGGCAATCCTCTGGTCCCAAGTCCCTACAGACTGAGCTACTACCCCCCCCCCCCCGATGTTATTTCACACGTTACCTGCTCAGGTGGTTGGCTCTGATTGGTTTATCTTCCACACCTCGTTGCTGGTTGGCTGAAAATCCAGCGTGTGAATGAGATGTGAGCAGTCTTTATGTAAACATGATTATCTCTGTTTATAGAAATTATGAGACTCTGATCCTACACACACACACACACACACACACACACACACACACACACACACACACACACACACACACACACAGATCAGAAACCAACAGAACATCCTCTAAAAGAGTCTGTTGGGTCTTTGTAACGGTGTAGTCTGGACCCCTGGACCCTCTCTCCTCTCTCACTGGAGCTCACAGAGACATTTCCTTTGCTCCTCCCTCTGCGTCTCAGAAACTGAAGCAGACTTGTGCACAGGTGTTGTTTGAATGTGGGGCAGAGACTCGGCCTGTGCTGGACCTGGACTCTTCCTGAGGTCACAGAGACCGTTCTAGTCCCCCTCTGGTGGTTAAACTCCTAAACATCAGAGAATTGAAAACGGTTAGGGGGGCAGAGCTTTAAGAGTCTAGAGGAGGAGTCAGAAACACTCCGAGATGAAGATCTGTAGTTAATAAAGGTCTGTGTGAACGTTTCTTCTTCTGTGGTTTTAGCTGATGTTAACGTGTCGTTTATATCAAATCTTCAATTCAAAAGCCTGTGCTGCAGTTCTACAGTGTTTTCAAAGGAGGCCACTCCTCCAGCTGTCTGCGCTGGTCATGTGACTGAAGCTATGGCGCCTTGATCATGTTGTGACTGATCAGATTTCGTCATGTTTTTGTCTCATATTTAATATCTGAAAGCACATCTTTACAGACTCTTTACCCTCAGTGAGAGGAGGCGTCCTGTGCACATTGTAAATGATGACAACGTGTCACTTCCTGTTCTTTCAGGTAAGAGTAAGGAAGCCGAGATCAAACGGATCAATAAAGAGCTGGCCAACATTCGCTCCAAGTTCAAGGGAGACAAAGCTCTGGATGGATACAGCAAGAAGAAGTACGTGTGCAAGCTGCTCTTCATCTTCCTGCTCGGACATGACATCGACTTCGGACACATGGAGGCCGTCAACCTGCTCAGCTCCAACAAGTACACCGAGAAGCAGATCGTAAGTCCACTGCCGTGTGCGTTTGTGCGTGTGTGCGTGTGTGCGTGTGTGCGTGTCCCAGAGGCGCTCAGCTTCATTGGTAAGATCACATGGTGGGATCATGATGTCAGAATATGAAAGACTGTGTGATCCAGGCTGTAGGAGGATCAATGACCTGTGTGTTATCACGCTGTGTTGGTTCAGTGCTGGTCTTCATCCAGACTCCGGGCTTCAGGTCCAGACTACAGTTCAGGTTCAACTCGTTGACCTGGGTCTGCACAGAGACATGACTCGCTCTTTAAATGTTGGCTTTATGGCGTTTGCTTCACATCGTCAGAGATGGAGTTTCAGTCACAGGTTCTCTTATCTGAACTCACCTTTAATGTTTGAAACAACAATCTGTGAAGTCGTCTTCACTTTTATTAACAAACTTTTTCACCTGGATGTTGTTGGTATAACAGTCCAGCTGATATGAGGGGAGACGAGAGGCTCTCTGTTCATCTGTTGGACTTCCTGATGAAGGTTTGAAGCTGAAACGTGTCAAAGAAGTATTTAAAGTCCACGTCAGCATGCCGTGATGTCATAGTTTTAAAGACATCTTTCTGAAACATTGAAATGAGATGCGACCTGTGGATCTGATTGGACCGTCACCTTATACTTTAGTTTAAAGCTTCAGTTCTTTCCAACACTATCGATCATTTTCAATCTGACTTTGAATCTTTTTACAAAACGTGAAGAACAAAAAACCTGAATCTGAAATAACAGACCACATAATCATCCCCAAGAGGAACATAGTCACCCTCCTCTTCCTCCTCCTCCTCCTCCTCCTGCTCCTCCTGCTCCTCCTGCTCCTCCTTCTCCTCCTGCTCCTCTTGATTTCTTTCTTTGTTTTAAACATGTAGAGAACAGGGAGGTGAAGAACATAGTTGATGTTAAAGCAGAACAGAGAGCTGAACCTGTTTCCTCACTGTGTGGTGGACTCAGGAACAGGAAGTGTTGAGTCAGCGGGATAATGTCGAGTCAGGAACTTTACACAGCACAAAGCTTTTTATTCTCTGACCCTTCAGTGAGGACACTAACATTAAGACTGGCCTGAGGATAGAAACCATCAACTAAATGTAGGGACAGGAGTAAAAGGCTTCATTAGAGGAGAGCGGGACCAGGAAAGGAGAGAGGGAGCAGGAGAGAGGGAGCAGGAGATGAGAGAGGGAGGAGAGAGGGAGCAGAGAGGGAGCAGGAGACGAGAGAGGGAGCAGGAGCAGCTATCTGTCAGTCGGGCAGTTTGAATCAACCATCACAATAACATAATCCAGCTGTTTGTTTAGTCCTCGTGAATTATAATAATTAATGTCACTCAAACGCACAGATGTGAACTAGCAGTGTTTTAGTTCCACCTGCTGGTGTTAAAGATTTATTACACATAGATCATCATCATGTGTCATAAAAAATGAGCTTTACAATACAACTGAGAAACTACAGTTACCATGATACACTTGGAGTCAACAACTCTCTCAACATGTCAACAATATGAAGGGACATTAAAGGACTACATTACCCAGGTGTATCTGATGTTTGCAATCGAAAACGTTAAAGGACTACATTACCCAGGTGTATCTGATGTGTCTAATCTAAAATGTTAAAGGACTACATTACCCAGGTGTATCTGATGTGTCTAATCTAAAACGTTAAAGGACTATATTACCCAGGTGTATCTTGATGTGTCTAATCTAAAACGTTAAAGGACTATATTACCCAGGTGTATCTGATGTTTGTAATTGAAAACGTTAAAGGACTACATTACCCAGGTGTATCTGATGTGTATGATTTTAAACCCTGCAGGGTTACCTGTTCATCTCCGTGCTGGTGAACAGTAACAGTGAGCTCATCCGTCTCATCAACAACGCCATCAAGAACGACCTTTCGAGCCGTAACCCCACCTTCATGTGCCTTGCGCTTCACTGCATCGCCAATGTGGGGAGCCGTGAGATGGCCGAGGCCTTCGCCAGCGAGATCCCCCGGATCCTGGTGGCTGGGTGAGTGGTCTGAACTCTCCTGATAGTATCTGTCATGTCTCAAACACATGTGTGACTGAGCTGGTCATGTGACGCCTGCAGAGACACCATGGACAGCGTGAAGCAGTCCGCCGCTCTCTGTCTGCTGAGGCTCTATAAGACCTCTCCTGACCTCGTGTTGATGGGGGAGTGGACGTCTCGTGTGGTTCACCTGCTAAACGACCAGCACATGGTGAGAACACCTGCACACTACATCTGAACAACGTGATAAAAGTTTCCTTTAAGACCTGAAATAACAGAGAAGATGAAGATGAAGATGATGTTGATGTGTGTGTTTCAGGGTGTGGTGACAGCTGCCATCTCTCTCATCACTTGTCTGAGTCAGAAGAATCCGGATGAGTTTAAGACCTGTGTGTCCCTGGCCGTGTCTCGTCTCAGCAGGGTGAGTGACAGTAACAAAGAGCAGCTTAACATACAAATATAAAATATACAAATATAACATCAATGTTTCTGTAAGTCTAATGATTCAGTTTTAATTTTGAAAGCCTAGCCAGGGACGGGGGTTGCAATTAGCCAAGGCTAGAAACCTTTATGCATGGCATCTACTTTGTACTTAACATATGAAGCATGTTAAAGCATGCAGTAAGCATGCTGTTAAATAAACAAATAATAATAAACAAAGATACAATCAGAGCTCTCGTAAACTACATTGAAGATTCTCAGGTGGATGACTTGACCCCTGTTCAGTCACTAGGAGAGAACACTGCTGATCCTTCCTGAATGAGTGTTAGTGATGCAGAGTCTCCACTGGTTACCTTCTGATCCCTGTTTGTTCTGCAGATTGTGTCGTCAGCCTCCACCGACCTGCAGGACTACACCTACTACTTTGTCCCTGCACCGTGGCTCTCCTGCAAGCTGCTGCGCCTGCTGCAGTGCTACCCTCCTCCAGAGGATGGCGCTGTTAAAGGTCGTCTGGTGGAGTGTCTGGAGACCATCCTCAACAAGGCCCAGGAGCCACCCAAGTCCAAGAAGGTTCAGCACTCCAATGCCAAGAATGCCATCCTGTTCGAGGCCATTTCCCTCATCATCCACTACGACAGGTGAGATATCAGCCAAGCAGATGATGATGTCAGAGTGTCTTATTCACTACATGGTGGTCTTTGTTAGAAGTTTTAAATGTAAAGTCAGCTCTTACAGCCTGCTCAGGTTTATGTTGACACGTCTAACTCGGGGAGTTTAATTTGACTTTCTGGTCTTCTGGTCCTCAGTGAGCCGAACCTGCTGGTGCGAGCCTGTAACCAGCTGGGCCAGTTCCTGCAGCACAGAGAGACTAACCTGCGCTACCTGGCTCTGGAGAGCATGTGCACTCTGGCCAGCTCCGAGTTCTCTCATGAAGCTGTGAAGACGCACATCGAGACCGTCATCAACGCCCTCAAGGTGGCGCCCCGTGCACAGAACACGCCTTACCTCTGTCTTATCAAATCATTGAGTTGAAGCAGTAACGTGTGCTCTGTGTCTCTGCAGACTGAGAGGGACGTGAGTGTTCGGCAGCGAGCGGCTGATCTGCTCTACGCCATGTGTGACCGCAGCAACGCCAAGCAGATCGTAGCTGAGATGCTGAGCTACCTGGAGACCGCAGACTACTCCATCAGGGAGGAGATGGTGGGTGGAGCCGCGTGGAGGCGACCATCTGACTGTAAGATTATCAGACTATAAGCTTTAATGTGTTTCCCTCCTCCAGGTGCTGAAGGTGGCCATCCTGGCAGAGAAGTACGCCGTGGATTACTCATGGTACGTGGACACCATCCTAAACCTGATCCGCATCGCTGGAGACTATGTCAGTGAGGAGGTTTGGTATCGTGTCATCCAAATCGTCATCAACCGTGATGACGTGCAGGGCTACGCCGCCAAGACGGTCTTTGAGGTGATAATGCCTGAAATGTTCACATGTAGACTGACATCCTGTGTGTCGTCGTCGTCGTCCCCCCCCCCCCCCCCCCCGCAGGACAAAGGGTGCGTTCGAATTGTCCCTCCTAGGCGACGTATTTCTGCAAGATATAGCCTACACATAATATTTTAAGCATACAAATGTACAACTGCACATAGCATCCTTAAGTGAATGATATATGTTGAATAAAACATCATCTGGATAAAAATGTCTCTTTTTATCCCTTACATGATCTGTGTCACTTTACAATCATCGTTCATTTCCGTGAACGGTCAGATGTGCGACTCGCTTTAAATTTTGTGGCCGCAAGGAATTGTGGGGCGGCATATCTCATCTCCTTTGGTAAAGGATGGTCCAGTGTATCCTGTGCTAAAGGAGGTTATAAAGGAAGCATTGACCCACCTTTCCTTAACTTTTAGAGAATTCGAACAGCTCTTATCATGGCCGCCACTTAAATGCTTCCGGGGTTAAGGTAAAGTGGATAGTGAAAGGAGATAGGAGGGACAATTCGAACGCACCCAAACTATCGGCCCTGGGGTGACAGGGCTTTCTCCATTGCTGCTCCAACCCTCTGGAACTCACTCCCAAATAACATCCGAGACCCCCCCCCCACATACACACACACTCACCTCCTTCCAGAAATCCCTCAAAACTCAACTCTTCATCACTGCCTACAACCACTAATTCCCCCCCCCCACATTACTTCTTCGTTGTACTGTTTTTGTCAAAGCGTCTTTGAGTTTTCAGAAAAGTGTTTTATAAAACCAATGTATTATTATTATCATTATTATTTTTATTATTATTATCATTATTATTATTATTATTGATCAGCTTTTAAGAGTGAGTATTTGCTGAATGCTCTGATTGATGTCTGATCCAGCTCTTTAGAACGCCTCTTATTATCACACAGTAACATCAGTGTTTTTTCTGCTGCAGGCCCTGCAGGCCCCCGCCTGCCATGAGAACATGGTGAAAGTTGGAGGCTACATTCTGGGAGAGTTTGGAAATCTTATTGCTGGTGACCCTCGATCCAGGTTGGTTTGTGTTTTTTGTCTGCTAAAGCACAAAGTTAAAAGTCTGATTGATGACTAATAATATTGCTTGATGTTTCAGCCCCCTGGTCCAGTTTAACCTTCTTCACTCCAAATTCCACCTGTGCTCGGTGCCCACCCGCGCCCTGCTGCTGTCCGCCTACATCAAGTTCATCAACCTGTTCCCAGAGACCAAGGCCACCATCCAGGAGGTGCTGCGCTGCGACAGCCAGATCCGAAACTCCGACGTGGAGTTGCAGCAGAGAGCCGTGGAGTACCTGAAGCTTTCCTCCATTGCCAGCACTGACGTCCTGGTGTGTGTGTGTGAGTGTGTGTCTGTGTGTGTCTGTGTGTGTGTGTGTCTGTGATTCTGTGTGTGTCTGTGTCTGTGTCTGTGTGTGTGTGTGTCTGTGATTCTGTGTGTGTCTGTGTCTGTGTCTGTGTGTGTGTGTGTGTGTGTCTCTGTGTCCGTGTGTGTCTCTGTGTGTGTGTGTCTGTGTGTGTAGCTCTTAAAGAACACCTGTGTCTCTCTGTGTCTCCTCAGGCGACCGTCCTGGAGGAGATGCCTCCGTTCCCAGAGAGGGAGTCGTCCATCCTGGCTAAACTGAAGAAGAAGAAAGGCCCGGGCGCCGTGTCTGTGACCGAGCTGGAGGACAACAAGAGGGAGGGAGGAGAGCTGAACGGAGGGGGCGAGAGGGGCCCTGACACGTCAGCCATGGCGGCCTCTAACGCTGTGAGCACGCTCTCTGTGTATCGTCTAACTGAAGTGTTTTATCATCATGGTCCGACTGACCGCTCTCTCCTTTCTCTTAGTCCACCCCGTCTCCGTCAGCTGACCTCCTCGGGATTCGTTCTGCGGTTCCTGTCGGTGCTGCTCCAGCAAGCGCTGGCAGCCTATTGGTTGACGTGTTCTCTGAGGCGGGGCCTGCTGCAGTCTCTGCTGCTGTGAACGATGACGGCTTCCTCAGGTAAATGCTCTTGATGAACAGGATGAGACACTGAAGACAGAAACATCAGATATATGCAACACACACACAGCTGTTGAAGCACCTTGACTTTGATTGACAGGTGCTGTTCTCTCTGTGTGTGTGTGTAGACAGTTGTGGTGTGTTTGTGTTTAAGGGCGCGGTCACACTGGCAATCCGTACCGTGCCTAAGAACGCTTCCCCCCCCTAAAGTCGGGTTTATTTGAGCAGTGTGAGCGCTCCGTGTTGTACTAACGGCACGCTGTGACACGGTACAGTTCAGGTAAACAACGTGGACAGCCTTCATTCAGTCTGTATGTGACTCAGAGTAAAGACAGGAAGCTGTCATGTTCTATGACCGCGGCTCTCTTTTATTTATCGATTTTATTTATGGCTGTATCTGATAAAATGTCAGTTCTCTGATATGTTCTCTGATGTGCCGTAGTGGACTTGGACGTGCGTCTCTTTTTTTGTCTGTAAACAGCGGTGTGACGGCGCCCTCATACAGCTAAGTGTAAAGTGTCTGTGCTGCTGTCGGCTCTGTCTTTCTCTCTCTTTGTTTAATATGAACCTGTCGACCTGGAGACATTGACCCTCACCTCACTGCTCCTCTGCAGAGCCTGACAACACTTTTATTTATCCTCCTGAATGTTATCTCAACAAGGCGTTCGAGGAATCATATTAAATCTACTTCATTCATATTGTTTTATTCCTTGTTGTATAAGATAACAACACCATCTGTCTCACTGTCACAATCTGAGCTCGCCTCAGAGACTGCAGGTAGTCCCCCCATCATGTCATTGGGGGGGGGAAGGGGGTGTTATCAGGCTGTTAATATAACCTAAACTTCTAACAGAAGGGGTTAAAGTCCGTCTGACACGTTCAGTCTCCATGGTCGTCAGGTCGGCTACACTTGTCTGTTCTTTTATCTTGCTGTGTTTGTGACTGTCTTTCGTCTTTTTTCTCTTCTTCCCTTCTCTCCATTTTCCTGTGTGTGTGTGCGCGCGCTTGTGTGTGTGCGCGCGTGTGTTTTGATTTGAATGTGTGTCCGTCTCCTGTCCTCTTCCGTGATTGGACATTGACAGAGATCTGGAACCGCCCACCGAGACCTCTGACTCCCTATTGGTGGAGGGTTCTGGTGACTCGGAGTAAGGGCCTGTAGTCATGTTACTACAGTTAGAAAACTACAAACATGGCGGATCCACGTTGTGTTTGTAGGATAGATTGTGTGTCTTTCAATGAACATGTTGTTGGTTTAATTTATAAAAGACACACACACACACACACTGAACATGTACAAACACATTTAAACACTCTGGTGATGAAAACACGATGAAAAGATGTTTCCCTCCAAAATAAAGTTAAAAACTAACCAAACTTTTGTTTAAGCTTTAAATAACTGAACCAATGAGGGAAGGGCTACTCTCTCCTTAGAGCTTCATTATTAATTAGCTTAGTCTTTTCTGTATTTTCAGTTTATTGTTGTCCTCTCAGGAACATCAAAGGGAAGTCGTGCTGCTTCCTGCTTCACTGTCATCATCTACACTCGTTATTATTACAGACATAGAAACATCATGGCTCTGCTGTAAACATCCAGCTTCATGTTCTACATACATGTGAACAGTGTGTGAAGTTAGGATCATGTTTTACTGCAGCTCACTGAAGAGAAGCAGCTTGTGTGTTCACACTGAGCGCTCTTTAAAGTCACACTCAGTATTCTGACTTAATGATGCACCACCCTGTTTTCATATCAATCAAATCAAACACAAACCTGAGACCGGCTGCTAAAGCTAGAGAGACAGACCTCACCTGTTGCTGCCTCGCTGCGGCACCACAATGCTTCACTCTGGAATTACTCTCTCTGCTCAGTTCCAGCGCGTTCTCCTCCGTCGCATGACAGCTCAGTATTCTAACATAAAACACGGGACAATAACTCAAGATAAACTCGGGGAAGCAGTCAATTGTCTCTCATCAGCCTCCCACGACCTCCTGCAAACCTGCACGCCTGAGCTCATCAAGATGCTGGCTCCTCAGCCATTTGGCCATACACCCAGGCAGGAAGCCCCGCCCCCTCTCTAGCGTGACAACAATGCAATACAACAATCAGGGAAGGTGTTGTGGTAAAGGAGTCTGTCTGCAGTTCTGCAAATTAAAAACCATAAATCAGCCCGTGTTTGGCGACTAGGACTTTGATTTGTGTTGCCGTGGTAACGATAGTGTTAACTTTTTATTCATACTGAAGTTTAAACTGTGACACTCGTGGTCCAGCACATGTTCTTCACATTACAGATATGTTTAATAATGTGGGAGGATAGTTTAAAGCTCCTCTGTGAGTGCGCCCCCCGCAGGTGGAGTCTGTGATCCTACAGGAACACCTTTTAATGTCTTCAGTTTGAGCATGGCTCGGCAGGGTGATCACTCCTGATTGGATGACGTGTTGAGCTAGTGTTTGACTCAGTGTGCTGCAGTAAACACACTAACATGTAGATAGATGATGATGAAACTGAACATGTCTGTGAAAAGATGTTTAACTGCTTTCACTAACCTCAGCATTTTATCCTCTCCTCCTCCTTCTCTGGTGTTTCTCTGTAACTGCTCTGATTTCCTCCTCATGTTACTCCTCCCTCCTCCTTTCTTTCTCCATTCTTTCATGTATTCCTCTGTCTTGTGGTCCTCCTCCTGGTCCTCCTCCTCCTCTGTCCTGTGGTCCTCCTCCTCCTCTATCCTGTGGTCCTCCTCCTCCTCTTCTATCCTGTGGTCCTCCTCCTCCTCTATCCTGTGGTCCTCCTCCTCCTCTATCCTGTGGTCCTCCTCCTGGTCCTCCTCCTCTGTCCTGCGGCCTCTCAGCTCTGCTCCTCCCTCTGAGGATCCTGCTGCTCCTCTTCCTGAGGCAGATGAACTTCTCAACAAGTAAGCTTTCTGTGTGTGTGTGCGTGTGTGCGTGTGTGCGTGTGTGCGTGTGTGTGTGTGTGTGTGTGAGACTGGCTGCAGCGCTGCATGTTGCCTGTAGGGGGAGTCACCTGCTGTCATCTTTGATTAATTAACCTGTTCTAATTGATTCCTGCAGAGTTCCCCACCTAATCAGACAAACTGCTTTTTAATCCTTAAATAATCAAATGGTAAACATGAATCAGTTTCGAACTGAATTACCTGTGATACCTGTGATGATGCTTTAAGTAGCTGAGTTGTGATTCATCAAACTGAATTACCTGTGATACCTGTGATGATGCTTTAAGTAGCTGAGTTGTGATTCATCAAACCGAATAACCTGTGATACCTGTGATGATGCTTTATGTAGCTGAGTATTGATTCATCAAACTGACTGCTCATTGGTCACTGACTCCATGATGTGTTTCACCTGCAGGTTTGTCTGCAAGAACAACGGAGTTCTGTTTGAGAATCAGCTGCTACAGATCGGCATCAAGTCTGAGTACCGTCAGAACCTGGGTGAGTGTTTTATGACAGGAGGGGGCGGAGTCTGTTGGGCTTTATCCACATATGTTCGTGTCGTTTGGTGTAGTTAGCCTGGTTTCTTCAGACTGGAGCGGCTCTTCTCTCCATACTCTTTATAAATCGAGACTCCATGTTTGAGTTTCTAACGTGTGTGTGTGTGTGTCTCAGGGAGGATGTACTTATTCTACGGTAACAAGACGTCGGTTCAGTTCGCTAGCTTCACCACCACAGTCAGCTGTCCTGGAGAGCTGCAGTCTCATATCCTTTCAGAGTCACAGAGTGTATGCGCTCAGGTAGATCCACCTGGAGGTTTACATAATCATACACAAGTGGACAGATCACAGGTACATTAACAGTGTGTGAACCTCCTGTAGAAAGCAGACTAATGTTTGTGAATATATATCATCAACTCCTCTGACTGTGCTCACATCAGAGTGTGTGTAGGTGCGAGTGTATGTGTGTGTTTTTGTATTAGTGATGTATGGATGCTCCTTGACAGCCAGTTACAGCTCAACGTTCAGACCAAACCAGTTGAGCCACTGGTAGAGGGTGGAGCTCAGATCCAACAGGTGCTCAACATCGAGTGTCTGACCGACTTCTCAGAGGCTCCACTGCTCAACATCAAGTTCAGGTGAGCTGACACTGAGGCTGTGTATCAGTCACACAGCTCAAACACTCCCTAACCCTAACCCAACCTTCAAACAGATACGGTGGAGCTCTGCAGAATCTCACCCTGAAGCTGCCCGTCACCATTAACAAGTTCTTCCAGCCCACTGAGATGGCGTCCCAGGACTTTTTCCAGCGCTGGAAACAGCTCAGCCAGTAAGTGTGTGTGTGTGTGTGTGTGTGTGCGTGCGTGTGTGTGTGTTCCCTGCTAATATTAACGTCTCCTTTTTAAATTCTCGTCAGGCCTACACAAGAAGCACAGAAAATCTTTAAGGCCAGTCATGGAATGGACACTGAAGTCCTGAAGGCTAAGGTAATCTCACTTGTCGTCATTGACCTCACCTGTCCTCATTGACCTCACCCGTCCTCATTAACCTCACCCGTCCTCATTAACCTCACCCGTCCTCATTAACCTCACCTGTCTTTGTGCTGTGTGTGTGTGCAGCTGCTGGGACTAGGAACGGCCCTGCTGGACAACGTCGATCCAAACCCAGAGAATTATGTGTGTGCTGGAGTGATTCAGACTAAGGGCCAACAGGTGGGCTGTCTGCTGAGACTGGAGCCCAATGCACAGGCACAGGTACACACACACACACACACACACACTCACACACACACATTAGGGATGTCCGCATTTAGTCCACTAAATGACTAAATGTCATGTTTGTCGGCACCAGAATCAAGTTAAACACATTTATATTTTTATGTCAGGTTGTTCTTAAACTGTAATACAGCTGCCAACCACTAGTTGATGCTGTAGCTCTTGTAGTGCTGCTCTACTACCCTGATGTAAATAAGCAGTGAACAGAAAGCTCCACTTCCTGGAGCAGAGCGGTATGTCAGTGTTTATAACATGGAGATCAAATGGTCTGAGTCAGGTTCACAGTTTGACTGTTTCTAACTTTGAACGACTAGTCTGATTTTAAATTATTTCATGAACATATACAAACATTTGAAGTCAGACCCTTCTCAGGTGTGTGTCCTGTTTAACTGTTTCTCCTGTGTGTGTGTGTGTGTGTGTGTGTGTGTGTAGATGTACCGTCTGACTCTGCGCTGCAGTAAGGACTCAGTCTCCAAGCGTCTCTGTGAGCTGCTGGCAGAACAGTTCTAGAGTCCAGACCGGACCAGGACTCCCACCATCCCTACCAGCCAGCTCCCCCCCTCCCCCTCCCTCCAATGAAGAGTCTCTGAGTAAACCAGTTGTAACCTACATAAGGGAAAACAGCCACTGCTAGCAGCAGTGTCCATATTCTGTCATTCCCCTGACCCCTCGTTTATTAACATGATGCTTCTTCTTGTTTCTGTTGGTGTTTACCTGTGTAGCTGCTGGCCAACACTCTGACAGCGTGTGTGTGTGTGTGTGACAGAGGGTGTGTGTGTCTCTGGGTTGTGCTGGGGTCCCATTCTGCTGCATCCTGACTGCTCTGTAGTGCTCATCATAGACGCGAATACACACCACACCTGTGTGTGTGTGTAAGAGGGAGAGAGACATTAGAAAAACATTCCTTTCAGAGAGATCACACACATACACACACACCTTGAGGTCCAGCTGTCCCTCGTTTCCCTCAAACATTCCCATAGACAGTCAGCTGGAGTTGTTGGGACGGTCTCTAAGCCCCGCCCCCTTCCTTTACATTTCCTCCTGATCTGTCCACTCGTGTGTTATCAGTGTGTGTGTGTGTGTGTGTGTGTGTGTGTGTGTGTGTGTTAGTGTGTAAATATATGCTGGTGTGTTCCTGTTGTGTTTCTGAGACATTCCCATCATGCTGGTTGAGAGGACAGCACAGAGTGGACGCAGTGGGGACGGGGACGGGGTGAGACACTCAGGTGAAGTCCCCTCTGTGCAGCTGCTCTCCTTCTCCTTTTGCTTCATCTACACTAATCCATCCAGGAACTTTTCTAACCAGCTTCTTTTCAGGACACTAAAATGTTCCAGATTAAATCAAAAAGACACACCTGTAATCCACCAATTAGAAAGGGTCAGCACGGCGAGGCCCCACCCCCCAAAGATTGTGCACTTCCACTTCGTAGCTCCCTCAGAGCAGGAACCTTCTGAAGGAGAAATCGTTAGTTTGTTTGTGACTTCACTGATGGAGGCTCACAGATATCGATCCACTTTAACCTTACTGTGAGCTTTGATTGACAGTTCTCACGTCTTATGACAGCAGCAGGCTGATCCTGATGTCTGGAACAACAATAAAATATGTTGGTGTCACACTCAGTGGGGGAGGGGGGGGGGGGCAGGATGTCAGACACCCGCATGTCCATTACAACCACAGGGGACTCAGTGTGTGTGTGTGTGTGTGTGTGTATATGTGAGAGAGAGTGTGGCTGTAAGCAGGTAATAATAAAAAAGAAGCCTAAAGACATTTCTAACCTATGGTCACATGACATTCAGACAGGAAGTTGAACTGTGTAGTGTAGTCATTCTGTGTGTGTGTGTGTGCGCGTGTGTGTGTGTGTGTGTGTGTGTGTGCGTGCGTGCGCGTGTGTGTTTGCAGTATCCACTAGCTGTTGCAGCCTCATGTATCGGTGTTAAAGACCTGTCCATTACCTGTGTTAGAATAAGATTTACTCTGTAATGAAGAAATGTGAAAGTAAAATATGCCATATATCCAAAATGACGTGTTGGGACTCTCTCTCACACACACACACACACACACACACACTCTCTCTCTCTTACACACACACGCACACTCTCTCTCTCTTACACACACACACACACTCTCTCTCTCTTACACAAACACACACACACACTTAAACACACACTCTCTTACACACACAAACACTCTCTTACACTCTCTCACACTCTTACACACACACACACACTCTCTCTCTCACACAAACACACACTCTTAAACACACAACACTCTCTTACACACACACACACTCTCTCTTACACACACACTCTCTTACACACTCTCACACACTCTCTCTTACACACACTCTCTCTCTTTCACACACACACTCTCTTTCTCTCTTACACACTCTCTCTCTCTCTCTCTCTCTCTCTCTTACACACACACACACACACACACACTACTTGTTGTAACATCTGATCTAAAGCAGCTTGACAACCTGATCATCCATCTTTAGTGTAAGACTTTGAGCTGTGGTCAGTGGGAGGAGCCAACACTTCTGACAAACATACTGTCACATAAAGTTCCTCCACACTGACTGATACACTGACACCTGCAGCAGCTTTATGAACCTTCACTGATTCCGGAGTTTATCACTGAGGAGTCGCCCTCTGCTGGACAGGAGGAAGAATGCTGTCTGCGTACTAAAGACAAGCCTTTAGCATGACGTCACATGAACCACTGTGAGCCTCCTCTGCTCCATCTCGTTAATAAAGATCTGACTTCATGTTAGAGGATGTGGGTCAGAGATAAACTTGTGTGCGCATGCTCAGACTGCCGCGTTTAATGCACCTGAAGGAACAAGAAAAAGTCCGTTTTAATATTTGCACAGGATCACTGAGGTGTAGAATCATCTCTGCTGAGTCTGCGCGCCCTGCCGGCCTGTGATTGGCTGCAGATGACATCATCCCGTGCTGATCTATTGTTGGACTGAGGATGAGCTCATAGTTTAGAGGAGCCGAGCTCAGAGCACAAAGAGGCAGAGACACCAGGAGCTGCTGCAGACAGAAAACTACCTACTGCGACTCTGACAGTGAGTAACATTCAAGATTCATATTCTTTTGATATCCTGACCCTGCGAGCTGCAGGTTTCTGTGAGCAGCCGGACTATGGGGTCTCTATGAGCTGTAGGTTTCTGTGGTCTCTAGGAACTGCAGGTTTCTATGAGCTGCAGGACTATGGGGTCTCTAGGAGCTGCAGGTTTCTGTGAGCTGCAGGCTTCTGTGAGCTGCAGGACTATGCGAGCTGCAGGTTTCTGTGAGCTGCAGGACTATGCGAGCTGCAGGTTTCTGTGAGCAGCAGGACTATGGGGTCTCTAGGAGCTGCAGGTTGACCTGTTCCGACAGAAAGAAGCGCTCAGTCGAGGAGTCGCTGCTGTCAGACCTGCATGCTGCGCACACAGAAACCCAGAGGCTTTAAGGTAGACCCCCTGCAGGTGTAACATGCTGTGTGTTTCCTGTCTCAGACATGCTGTGGACTCGGGACAGAGACTCGGAGAAACCTCCACTCTCCAACATCCTGCCCAGACTCTACCTGGGAGCAGAGAGCGACGTGACGCAGGTGAGTGTGAGCGCTGCAGGTCGACGTTAATAAATATACTTTTAAATGTTATTTTTATGTTCTTATAATGACGTCACTTTGTGCTTTCATTTTCCTTCATGCAATCATTTGTATTAAAGTTATTGTATTATTATTATTATTATTATTACTACTGATTGGAGGAGGTGTTGGTGTTGTTTACAGCTGACTGCTGGTGTTCAGGTAGAGCGCTTTAGTGACGTTATGCAGGACTGTGAGAGCTATGAGCGCCCCCTAATGGAGAGCAAAGGATCAAAACAATGTCCGATTAGATCATTTTGTACTCGAGATAGTTCTGTCAAGTTTCTGCACGCCCACTCTCTCTCTCTCTGCCCTGTGTTTCATAGTGTCTCTCTCTCTCTCCCTCCCTCCCTCTCTCTCTCTCTCTTTCTCTCTCTCCCTCCCTCTCTCTCTCTCTGCAGGACGGCCTGTCGTCTCTGGGGATCTCGTACGTCCTCTCTGTGAGTCGTTGTAGTCCTCAGCCGTCCTTCCTGCCTCACTCTCGTTACCTTCGGATCCCTATCGACGACTCTCTGTGGGACGACCTGCTGCCCTGGATCCCAGAGGCGCTCAGCTTCATCGGTAAGCCCCCCCTCCCCTCCCCCACTCTTCATGCACAGTATACTTTCATGACATCTAACTGTGTGTGTGTGTGTGTGTGTGTGTGTGTGTGTGTGTGTGTGTGTGTGTGTGTGTGTGTGTGTGTGTGTGTGTGTGTGTGTGTGTGTGTGTGTGTGTTTCAGACGGGGCCATGTCCTCGGGGGCCTCGGTCCTGGTCCACTGTGCAGCAGGGATCTCTCGGTCTCCGGCCCTCGCTGTGGCCTACATCATGTACAGTCTGGGACTGGACCTGGACCAGGCCTACAGGTACACTCTCAGATTGGATGTATTGTTATCAGAGTGAGAGGTCGTCCTAAGAAGTCCTAACTTTGCTGTCCTGTGTCTCTGCAGGTTTGTGAAGGAGCGTCGTCCCTCCATCTCTCCAAACTTTAACTTCCTGGGTCAGCTGCAGCTTTTCCAGAGCACGCTGAGCCTCAACACGCCTGCAGGGGGCGGCATCACCCATCATCCTGACTGTAACCCCGCCCACAGCGAGCAACAGTCTGACTGTAACCCCGCCCACAATGAGCAACATTCTGACTGTAACCCCGCCCACAACGAGCAGAGGGCGGAGCATCAGGAAGCCTCAGATCTGACAGATCAGAGCGGACACAGACTCCGATTTGAGGAAAGGGGGATCCAACATCTTCATGAGACTCTAAACCTGCAGCAGAGGGAACGTCATGTCCCACCCCCCTTCACACTACAACTCCCAGCATCCTCTGCTTCACTACAGGACAAACGTAAGAGCCTCACCCTCTCTCTGACACCGCTGGGAGTCAGCCCTGTCCCCCCTGCAGGGGGGGCAACCACACCTTACAGAGACAGTAAACAGGACGTCCACAGGGAGCACAGCGCCCCCCACAGGCAGCACAGCGCCCCCCAAAGGCAGCAGAAGGAGCACAGCGCCCCCCACAGGCAGCAGAAGGAACAGGGTCTGCTGTCCCCGTTCAGCTTCAGCCTCAACAAGCTGCTGGACTGGGGGGAGAGGCTGCTACTGGGGGGTCTGTTTGTCCCCCCTGTGAAGATGGGACAGCCCGCCCTGCCGTACAGGTGCTGAGGGCGGGGCTTATGTGTGAGCATGTTTGTTAAAGATAATGATGTTTGTACAGACAGAGAGCTGATTTATTTATTGATGATTTATTTATTACAGAGACGATTCTATAAAAAGTTTACATGAAAACAAACATCAGCTGATCTTGTGACCTTGTGATCATGTGACCTTGTGATCGGCGCTTTAAGACTTTGATTTCATGTATTTATGATCATTAAACTGTCGGATTGACTCAACATGTTTGAATGTGTCAGAATATTAAATTACATAAATCAGAGGTTACCAAGCTTTTCATCATAAGAGCGCCCCCTGCTGGTGTCTCAACAAACAGAGCCCCTCAGGACCTAACCCCCCTAAAGTGATACCCTGCTGTCAGAATGGAACACGAATTCATTACTTTGATTTGAGTGACAGGTGAGTCTGATACCTTTGAGTTCATATGTGAAGCTTTTATTTTGAAAGCCTCAGAGCAGACACAGCCTCGCTCTCTCTCCTAGCGGGGCGGGACAGCACCTTTGGAGCCAATATATGGTATAATAAACCTGTGGTTCTCACCTGGTCCAGCCCCAGGATCCGCCAGCACCTCTTAACGAGAAGTTGTGACATGAAAAACTGAAAAGTTTCAACCACTCGGATTGATTTTGAAGCCGTTTGGACGTCAGAACAAAACAAAGGGCTCACTGACAACGACTCCACGAACCTGTTCTGGGTCCCGACCCTCCAGTTGAGAACCACAGATGTAACCGTTTCACTGTTAATAACCATGGTGACTTCATTTGACAGCCTGGTGTCACTAGGCATTAAAACATTCTGCAGCTCTACATCTTAAACCTGCATTCTCTCTGATGTCCAGCAGGGGGCAGAAGAGGTCTGCAGCTGATTCCCTCAGTTACAGTTTAAAGTCTCAGTGTAAAGATACACAGAGGTGATCATGCTCCTGTGTTATAATAAATAAAGATGAAATCATTTCAGTAGAATCTACACTAACCAATCACAGGGCTGAACTGCTTTCACATCCGGTGCAAAATATAACACTTCAGCTCTCTGTCCGCCTCATGAGGGCCCCCTGCAGGTGAACTCCCGGTGAAGTTTTCAGGTACAGAGGTGAAGTATGTGCTGCCTCAGGGCAAGGATATCACACACACACACACACACACACACACACACACACACACACACACACACACACACAGATTTTAGATCTACTTTTTATAGATCCAGATGTTATAGATCAGTATGACGCACCCTGTTCTGCCCTCGTGCTGCTTTCTTACATCCTGTTAAAAAAAAGTCTAATGTAACGTCACGGAACCTCCAAATGACCAAATAAGGAAAGTGACACACGCTAGAGGAATGTGTTCAACTCAGATTTCATTTTAATGATCCGAAGAGACGAAACAGACGATCACAATTTTAACTACTGTTACACGCGCACACACAAACACACACACACGCACTCTGAAGGCTGCGTGTGTTAGTGTGTTTTAGTGTTACTGTGTGTGTTACTGTGTGTGTCTGTGTTAGTCTGTGTGAGTTTTAGAGAAAGAAAAGAGGAAGTAGCTCCGCCCTCAGTCCGCCTGCAGGAGGAGAACAGCTCGGAGCTTCACAGGTCGCGAAGGAGAAACTGTGACTGAGAACAGGCTTCTGTCCCCGGCGTGGATCAGCGCAAAGCCCCGCTGCTGCTCTTCGTGAGTCCGCTCCACCATGAGCTCCATGTGAACAACTTTACACTGAAGACACAACTGTTGCTCACAGGATCGGCTCTCATCGGCTCTCATCGGCTCTGGGCCTCGGCAGCTGCAACACTCTTCAGGTCCCAGACTATCTTTGGTCCGGATCGGTCCCGGATAAATCCCGGATCAGACCCGGCTCGGTAACAATGAGCGGAGAGGAGGAGAGATACAAACTGGTGGTGGTGGGAGGAGGAGGGGTGGGCAAGAGCGCGCTGACCATCCAGTTCATCCAGGTACACCCACCCACACACACACACACACACACACACACACACACACACACACACAGTAACACACACACTTGTTGTTGTTGATTTTCTCTTTATTGACTTTTTTCTTGTTCGTCCACTGCTGTGAGATAACTCCACAGGTGATGTGATGTTTCTCTCGTCTGATTGGCCCAAAAGGGAAAACACACAGAAAAAAAGGGGGGGGGGGGGCGTCTCAGTCACACTCAAACATCAACAACAAACACAAGCATTTGTTTGTTGCCATGGCGTGCAGGAGTTAAACTACAACGACAATCCATGACCAATCATCTTCTTGCCTGTTGTTGCCATGGTGACAAACAGGTTTTTCTCTATCCTTTGATTTTTGACCAGTTTTCTATAGAAGGTTAAAATCCTGTTGTCGTGACAACCCTACCACCGGAGCTCATGCTATCAGACCCTGATGGACTGATGCAGACCCTGATGGACTGATGCAGACCCTGATGGACTGAGCTACACACTTGTTCACACATCAGAGGGCAATCTTTGACTGATCGTCAAAGATTGTTACACCTCGATGGAAACACGGACAAGGATCTGCTTAAAGTCCTTTAGAAAATAAGTTGCTGATCTGAGAGTTCCTGGTGTTGTAAAGTCTGCGTTCCTGCTCATGATGTCCCTGAAGTGAACAGAAACATGAATCACTGCTGCAGATTTTTAAAAAGGGAGCAGCACTTTCCTGATGTAGTAAGAACTGTTTCCTGTGGTGTAAAGGCTCCTGATCCCTGGATCAAATTCCTGTGGTGTAAAGGTTCCTGGTCCCTGGATCGAGTTCCTTTGGTGTAAAGGTTCTTGGTCCCTGGATCGAGTTCCTGTGGTGTAAAGGTTCTTGGTCCCTGGATCGAGTTCCTTTGGTGTAAACGAGTCTTTGTGTCTCTTCTTCTTTCTTTCTTTCTTTTCAGTCCTACTTCATCTCCGACTACGACCCAACCATCGAGGACTCGTACACCAAGATTTGCTCTGTGGACGGAAAGGAGACCAGACTGGACAGTGAGTGTACACACACACACACACACACACACCCTCTTTTTCCACACACTGACTCAGACCCACAGGAGTGTGAATGTGTGTGTGTGTGTGTGGCCCTGTTAGGACTTGTCATGAGTGGGCAGGCTGCAGAATGTTGGGTCACACTGATGTTTCCAAAACCACACAAACACACACACACACACACACACACACACACACACACACACACACACACACACACACACACATGAATCATATTTTGAGGAAATCTGTGATGACAACACATGGGTTTAATTTGTGTTAATATTAAGACTAACTGTGTGTGTGTGTGTGTGTGTGTGTGTGTCTATGTGTGTGTGTGTCTATGTGTCTGTGTGTGTGTGTCTGTGTGTGTGTGTGTGTGTGTCTATGTGTCTGTGTGTGTGTGTGTGTGTGTGTGTGTGTGTGTGTGTGTGTGTGTGTGTGTGTGTGTGTGTGTGTGTGTGTGTGTGTGTGTGTGTGTGTGTGTGTGTGTGTGTGTGTGTGTGTGTGTGTGTGTATCAGTCTTGGACACAGCTGGTCAGGAGGAGTTTGGAGCGATGAGGGAGCAGTACATGAGATCAGGAGAAGGATTCTTACTCGTGTTCGCTCTCAACGACCGGGGCAGGTAAAACACCTGAGCAAACAGGAAGTGAGGTCACAGTTTAGACTGATCTCTCGCCCAGAGCAAACTCTCACCTATGTCCTTTAACCTGTATCCTCTGTCCTTTATCCTGTTTCCTTTAACCTGTGTCCTCTGTCCTCTCACCTGTATACTTTAACCTGTGTCCACTGTCCCTGTGTCCTCTGTCCTTTATCCTGTTTCCTTTAACCTGTGTCCTCTGTCCTTGTGTCCTCTGTCCTCTCACCTGTATACTTTAACCTTTGTCCTCTGTCCTTGTGTCCTCTGTCCTTTATACTGTTTCCTTTAACCTGTGTCCTTGCGTCCTCTGTCCTCTCACCTGTGTCCTTTAACCTGTGTCCTCTGTCCTTGTGTCCTCTGTCCTTGTGTCCTCTGTCCTTATGTCCTCTGTCCTTTAACCTTTGTCCTCTCACCTGTGTCCTTTAACCTGTGTCCTCTGTCCTTGTGTCTTCTGTCCTCTCACCTCTGTCCTCTCACCTGTGTCCTCTGTCCTTGCGTCCTCTGTCCTTGTGTCCTCAGCTACCATGAGGTGCAGAAGTTCCACACTCAGATTCTGCGGGTGAAAGACAGAGACGACTTCCCGATGGTGCTGGTGGGGAACAAAGCGGACCTGGAGCAGCAGAGAGTGGTAAGAGGTTACTGCACATGCTCAGTGGATCACTTCTGAAGACATGGTGATGACCATGCTTTCTGTGTTCAGATCTCCAGAGAGGACGCTCAGGCGTTCGCCTCAGAGAACAGGATCCACTACATGGAGGCGTCGGCCAAGAACCGCTATAACGTGGACGAGTGCTTCCTGGAGCTGGTTAAGATCATCAGGTACCCGTTTGATTCTTTTCACTTCCTGTGTGAACGCTCAGACTGAGAACACGCCCCCCTCCAGTCCAACACCGATTCCAGATGTTTAATTTATTCACATTTAAAAAACCTTTTTCTTCCATTACAGTAAATGTATTTATTTAAACCCTGAAGTTTCATCTCTCTCTCTCTTCCTCCCTCGCTCGCCCCCAGACGGTTTCAGGAGATGGAGAGTCCTCCTCTTCCGGCTCACCACACGGGCAAACAGAAGGGAGGGGGCTGTCCCTGTGTCCTCCTCTGAGGACGGTTACCATGGAGACCACAGTCTCATCCCACTGCAGTTCATCCAAAGAGGAGCGTGTGTATTTGTGTGTGTGTGTGCGTGAGAGAGAGAGAGAGAGAGACAGGGTGCATTTTTTTTTTTTTTTTGCACTTTTTGCCAAAGTCATTTTTTTGTGTCTCCGGTGAGCACTGTGACTGATTAACATATTTACAATGTTCTACTTTATTTCAAAACGTCTGTGACATTTCAACATGTGGCAACACCTCTCACAACGGTCATGCTACATCGGCCAGCAGGGGGCAGCAGACAGAGGTGGACAAACAGCAGGTGTCAGCAAGTGTCGCTGTAAATAACCTTCATGTCCGTCAACCTGTAGCGTTAGGGGTGATACCTGTGTCACACCTGTTTCACACCTGTGTCACACCTGTGTCACACCTGTGTCATACCTGTGTCACACCTGTTTCATATCGGTGTCATACCTGTGTCATACCTGTGTCATACCTGTTTCATATCGGTGTCATACCTGTTTCATATCGGTGTCATACCTGTGTCACACCTGTTTCATACCCTTGTCACACCTGTTTCATACCTGTTTCATACCTGTGTCATACCTGTGTCATACCTGTTTCATATCGGTGTCATACCTGTGTCATACCTGTTTCAGACCTGTTTCATACCTGTGTCATACCTGTGTCACACCTGTTTCATACCTGTGTCACACCTGTTTCATACCTGTTTCATATCGGTCTCATACCTGTGTCCTACCTGTTTCAGACCTGTGTCATACCTGTTTCTTACCTGTAATCTGTCTCATCTGTGACGCTCGTTAGGGGCGGGGTCTTGTCAGCAGACACTTCCCCCATCATTTGTGATGTGTTTTAGGCCACATGTACACGAGAACGATCCTCTGACAACAGGGTCGTTTATTTTGTTTTCAATTGTTCTAGTGGTGCAGTAAAGGGTCGGGGTCAGAGGTCAAACCCTCGGTTTGTCTTTAGAACATCATATTTATATCTCCTTTTAAAAACATCCTGATTTTTATATTAAAGTTCAAACTTCTTTTATCAATAAACTTTAAATCAAACATTTCTCTCGTCTTTAATGACTTAAACTGAACGTCTGCATATGTCTGTTTGTTTACCTGTCTGTTTGTTTACCTACCTGTTTGTTTACCTGTCGGTTTGTCGTTTTTCATTTCTTCTAAGGATCTTTATAGTGGATAGAGTGAGACACCCAGGGAGAGAGAGGCGAGTGGTTGGGGTGTGCATCGCATATGCAGAGGCTGTAGTCCTTGGAGCGGACCAAATCTGACCTTGGCTCTTTTCCCACAAATCCTTCCCAACACTCTCTCTCCCTGATTTCCAACTCTTTCCAAAAAAAGTCATAAAAAGCCCCCAAAAAATCAACCTTTAAAAAAAAAAAAGGGGGTGAGAAAGAGAGATCGGGGAAAGACATGTGGAAAAGGAGCCACTGGTGGTCAGACCTGAACCTGGGTCACCTGCACTAACAGCTAGGCTACCAGTCTGAGCATGTTTGAGAGGACCTTCATGTGGCTCTTAAAATAAGGTTTGGGGACCTTGTCCCTGAGGGGGGTTCTCTTTAAGTAATTATTGTTTCTTATCTGATCCCAACTTTAACATATGGCATTTTAAACTGCAGTTACTTAGTGGTACCACTAGATGTCAGTGTTGCCCTCCACTTCTGACAGGGACTCTTAGCATAATTTCCTGTTCCTATTTCTCTAGAGTGTTTCTTTTTCTGTGTTTGTAACTTTTTAAACACAATGGGAGTTCTAAAGTTCTGAATGAATCAGACAGAAGAGTTCATGAGAGCAGCTTGTCTTTACTGACTAAACACTGAGTAAAGAGAGTGAGACAGGTGGACAGACAGGTTTGTGGAGGTCCCTCCCTCCTGCAGGTATGTCGTCTAACAGGTTTCAGATCTGACTCTGGGAAACTTCAACTCACCTCACAATAAGGAAGGTGAACCTGCAGCCTCCGTGTTCCTGAAGCTCTACAGGAGTGACTGACTTCACCTCTCACACACAGCTGCACCAGTAGAAGGAGACACCTGGACAGGTGAATAAGTAGAAGGAGACACCTGGACAGTGAATAAGTAGAAGGAGACACCTGGACAGGTGAGGCTCTACAGACGTCCTTCTCGTCTTTCTTGTGGTGTTTGTTTGTTGAGATGGCGGCCGTGTGGATCTGTGTTCTGTCTCTGCTGCAGCTCGTCTTCTGCTTCGTCCCCTTCAGACAACAGCCAGGTAAGCTCACACACACACACACACACACACACACACACACACACACACACACACACACACAGACACATAGACACACACAGACACATAGACACACATACACAGACACACACACACACACACACACAGACACACACACACACACACACACACGCAGACACATAGACACACACACACACACACACACGCAGACACATAGACACACACACACATACACACACACACACACACACACACACACAGACACACACACACACACACACACACATAGACACACATACACACACACACAGACACATAGACACACACACACACACACACACACACACACACGCAGACACATAGACACACACACACACGCAGACACACACACACACACACACACACACACACACACACACACACACACACACACACTGCTGTGCTGGATGTGTCTCAATGTTGTTGTTGTTGTTGTTGTTGTTGTTGTTTGTCCTGCAGGAGCCCCCGTGCAGATGGAGGAGCGCGCGGCGTCTTCCTTCCTGTCTCGCTCTCTGCTCTATAACAGCTGGGACTTCGAGGTGGTGGTGGCCGACAGTCTGGAGAGAGAGTGTGTGGAGGAGATGTGCAGCTACGAGGAGGCCAGGGAGGTGTTCGAGGACGACGCGCTGACGGTACACCTGCAGCTGATCAGCTGCAACATACATGGAGAGCTACTTCAACAGCTATAGCTATAGATCTATAACATCTACAACATATAGATCTATAACAAATCTACAACATATAGATCTACAACATCTAAAACATCTACAACATATAGATCTACAACATCTATAACATCTATAACATATAGATCTACAACATCTATAACATATATAACTATAATATCTACAACATATAGATCTTAAACATCTATAACATCTACAACATATAGATCTACAACATCTATAACATCTGCAACATATAGAGCTATAACATCTATAAAATCTACAACATATAGATCTACAACATCTACAACATCTACAACATAGAGATCTACAACATCTACAACATCTATAACATCTATAACATATAGATCAACAACATCTATAACATATATAACTATAATATCTACAACATATAGATCTTCAACATCTATAACATCTGCAACATATAGATCTACAACATCTACAACATCTATAACATAT